AATAAATTTATTTCCAACTCAACTAATATATATCATAAAATCAACAATAAACAAAGTTAAAGAAACAACAACAAAAATAATGCCTCCAAGGATCCTGCGAAAAGTGAAAACCCTATTAAATATACCCATAACTCTTATCCAATAAAAGCCATGCTCTGAAAATTACCCAATAAATGCCTACAAAAGAAAAGTTCAGTGGACTAATCCCTCTGCTCATGAGATGCTCATGCACTGGCCCATTCCATTGCATAACAATGGGGAAGAAGCATACTAGGCACTTGCCTAGCGTGTCCTTACCCCTCAAGAGCTAAATGGACCAGACCACTGAAGCCAAAGCCTGGTGTGTTACTTTTAGCCAAGCCTATGCCTAGCCTGTCCCCACCCTAAAAGAAGCCTTATTTTATACTAAAAAAGTAACCCTACCATTACACTATTATGTGACCTGACGTCACAGTGTAGAGTTGACGAGCTGCATTTCATTCGTGACCAATTCGTGTTATTACAAGCCAAGCTGAAGGATTTAATGTTGGCTAATGAACAGCAGAACTACTTCAGACTTGAACGATAACTCTATTTCTGAATGATTCTAATAGTTTTAACAATCACTCATTGCTGTATTTCATAAACGAATGAGACCTCTTTCATATACTACACAATTATGATGATGAAATGAATTTGTTGAAAACATATTCTGTGGTCGTAATTATTCCGAGCTTTAAGTGTTTTATTTCCAAATGTATACATCTAAATGTTTGTAAAAACGTTAAAGAGATTAATATATATCTATTCAGTGTACATTAATTTCTTCAAATTTCTTTGACATTTAGGAATTGCAGATTTTATCGGTTTCCTTTATTAGGTATTAACAATAATATTTTTATGTAATAAGTCTAAATACAGAAGACATTTGTCAATATTAGTCAACATCAATATTAGTATCAATTATAGCTATCTAACTCATCTAGATTTACTACGTTTGTTTTTCATAAACCAGGTCTGTGAGCATTTATTGTTTCTGTGGGGTATTCGGTGTTTTGCGTGTTCATAGTTCGGAATGGTGTTTCATGTTCCATTATTCCGATATTTTATTTTCCTCTTATTTCCTGTTCATAAACGTTCATAAACAATGTTTTAATGCAAGTTTGTGAGTTTGGAGGGTTTTTTTAAAGTGTCAAAATAATGATAAAGATATGTTCAGGGGCAACCTCAAGATATATCTATGATATTTACAAATGTTCAGTTAAGCATCTGTTTATTGCATGGCTTCTGACAAGAGGAATGAATCGGCTCAGGTTGTTAATCCGGTAATGACTTTGAGGGATCATTGAATGTATCTTTCATACACAGTATATGTACTTTCGATTTATAACATTATTTTACAGATTAATCAGTAACAGAAATTTAGTCAATAGTTAGTAAGTAACGACTGTATATCTGTTTTGATAGTTTGATAAATCAAGGCAACTAGGGAAAACATTAACCCCAAACAAAAACCGTGGAATTATCATCTTCATATTTTTCATTCGTCTTATCTTAAACATCTAGATATTAGATATAGACAAGTCTGTATAGGTTTATTCAAGATTTGAATCTCTCGCCGTGAGTGGCTTATTTCTATTGACAACCGCAATTCATGTATCCCAGCTCAGGTCGTCATGCCTTGTAATCACCTGAACGCCCAGCGACAAAGTGAGTCATAAGCTATAAATAGTTTTCCGGGCAATTCCTGTTAAAGCGAAAGCTGTCGGGCTTATGGGCACTTGGATATCATCAATAGTGCACTACCTATTACAGACTTTGGAAGGGAGGTAAGACAGAACACATGTCTGTTACATTATTCAGTACCAGAAATGTACTGACGAAAGGTCGAATTTACAGGACTCCCCTTACTGACAATTGTGTATCTGTTTTGATAGTTTGGCAAATCAAGGCAACTATCGGTACACATTAATCCTAGCCAATAAAAATTTGAATTTATGCCTTCATATTCCTTATTCTTCGTATCTGTAAAACTCTGGACGGATGGATGGCCTGCACACAGTGAGAGTTTTTTCTGTAAGTTGTTCATTTTCGTATGCTGTTAAATATTCTCCCACACTTGGGACAGGACTGTTTCTGTAGACTGCTGTCTTAATGTTATTGTTTAGTTTCCAGTGTTACGAACATGTCATGACTTAACTGTTACTGGTGTTCAAAGACACACGCTCTGATAACAGCACTCCACGTAAAGGAGATGTACAGTTAACCTCTGGAATCAAATCATTTATAAAGCATTTAAAAACAAGCATCTTGAAGATGTCATATTTTCTAAAGTCAACATTTGCAGCCAAAAAACGTGAGAGTTAACGAGCAAAGTTGCCATTAATGAACAGCAAAACTAGAACCATAACACCGTAGTTGTATGAGTAGTTCTCATAGTTATAACATTCGCATATATATAAAGGAATGAAACCTCTTTGATATACTACAGCGACAATTATGAAGATGAAAATAAGTCTTGAAAACAAATTCTATTGTAATTATTCTCAGCTGCATCAGTCGAGTGACATTCATCGATTTTTTACCTTTCTCAATGCACTGTATTGTAAAGATGACTTTTGTATCCCATGGATAGATCTTAGACTACGATTCTTAGAATAAAGGTATCTAACATTAATATGCAAAGATTATGTTAGCTTGTCCCAACATATGGTAACGTAACGATAACTAGAAAATGAAACATATAACTTGGAACACAAGAGTGTAAATTGAGCCCCGATTTTAACCTGTCCACGACTGTGGTGATGTGGAAATATAATGGACTGTTACTGCACGAGTTCTCCCCCTTCTTGTACGAGGACGACGTAGAATACTGGTTCTTGTACGAGGACGGACGTAGAATACTGGTTACTCTCTCCGTGGTTGTATGGACGGGTGGAGCGGGCGTACATAATGACAGTATCCCCATCTGCAAGTTGTTCATAATTTAATGTTGTTTTATGTCTCTGTCTCCGTGCCTTGGACTGAACTGTTTTCCGCTGTCAACTGTTACCTCTCAATATTATTGTTTAGTCGGGCATCGTCTCGAAAGCTTTGAACATCAACAATATGCCTGTACCCTTGCCGAGAGTATTTTCACAGTTGTAAGAAGCGATTTTATTGATAAAGATTGGTTTCTAATGACGCTTTTTTCGCCACAGTCCGCTATAGGTAGTCGATTGGTCAAAAATCAGACACGTGACCTAAGGCAGCCAATCATATTAAGGCAATGGATACCGTCCTCGCAAACGGAAACTTTAGATTCGGACACGTTTTTGGGTGAAACAATGCTATTCTGAACATATTAAGCAGGCAGCCACCACGCAAATTATGGAACTTATTTGACGTGTATCGTGCCGCGAAGTTATTAACCCGTGACAAAATGCTTCATGTATGTATTTTCAGCATTAAAACATCGTGTCCGAGCGTGAAGATTGAGGCGGCGAGAGCCGAGATGTCACTTGTCAGTGACTTGACTTGCATTACACGATCGCACAAAAAGATGGAAATTGTAATTTTATACGTACGCTTTATCAATTTTTATGAATGCTGTTGTTGATTTCATTCATTAGTCTATTCAATTTATTTAATAATTTCCTGGAAACATCGTTATTTTGCTCTTTGACAATGTTATTAGGACCCGCTGTCGAAGGATGTGTCCGAGAATCGTTGTTTTCAATAACATTGCGAAAAAATAGTTTATAATTTTAATTCTGGTTGATAATATATGATAAATTGAAATTTAATAAGTGTTTTCAGACATTGTTAAATGATAGATTTGATATATGAATCAAAAGTCAGGTAGGTTCCTAAAAGCATGTCTCATTTTGACGTGACTACTGCCTGCCGATTAATCAGCCTCCGGTGTCTGGGGACTCATAACGTTGTGGCTGATTATTCGACCTGTGGTGTTGAATGGGTTAGTAACATAATATAATATATTCAGTATAGAATGTAGAGACTGTCGCCGGTGACCCATACACTCTGATGTGATCTAACACACGTGCATCCACGTAAAACTGTCCATTCTATGTCGAGTGTCTTTCCCAAGTTTTTGCAAAGTGGCTCTATCAATCGGTATACTTTGTAAGATGGTTGTTTGTTTCAGCAGATCTTCATAACTGGTAATTCTGGCGTTGATGTTAAGATCTATGAAGCTATGTGGCGGTTTGCATATGTCCAAGCCTGGTGTTGGTCATGTTGAAAACTTAGTGGCCCAAGCGATCTCAAACTTGCTAGCTCCTTGGCCTTTTGCAAAAATCTACTCATACTTATTAATTGTCAATTTGGTGGATGAAAATGAAAAATAGGGTCAGAATTTTCTCCTGCATACTCCTGACATTACCATATATGTTTATTTCATCATTTCGATTTTCATCTTGCATGATTTTGAGGAGGGGTGAGGTGAAATTGGGTTTAACGTCATGCTTGAGAATATTTCGCTCATATGACGACGTGCATGCCTGTGTATGTGTATGTGCGGCTGCTTGTACAAGCCCAGATTTCCGCTAGTTTTATAGTGCTAGCCCATGCCGCAGTGAAGCATGAATACCCCACTCAGACACATTATACTGACTCTGAGCCGACCAGTCCTTGTTGTACCCATTAATGCCGAGCGCCAGACAGGGACCAACAAGTACCATATTTTAACGTCTTTTTTGTATGATGCTCTCCGGGCGGACGCTCTAACCACTAGCATGATTTTGAGTTTTAAATTTGACCATGTTCATTATTACCCTCAAACGTAAACTTATTTGGCGTATCTGAATTTGTGAGCCTGAAAAAGATGAACCTTGTCATGTCCGATTATTTCTGGTTGTAATTTTAATTTTTAATGACAATATTTATTGAGAAATACATAGACATATGATAAACTATTGACTACATTTACAGAATGGTCTCATGAAGAATGGAAACTGGACCACTGACAAACATTCCAGATGTGACAGAGTGCATACAGTCCCCATCGACATCAACTCTTGATGAGTCAACAGCAGGGGAGACAACCCAACCTTTCCTCAACACAAGATGATGCTTTGGCCTTACCATCAACAGACACTCCGGTGGTAAGAAAATGGAGTCAACGGCAGGGTATGCAATTCAACCCTTCCTCAACACAAGAAGGTGTTATCGCCGTACCATCAACAGACACTCCGGTGGTAATAGAAGGGAGCCAAAAGGAGGGGATGCAATTCAACCCAATTCATGAAGGTGTTATGGCCTTACAACGAACAGACCCTCCGGCGGTAATGGAGGAGAACCAGCGACAGGGAATTCAATCCAGTTCTCCAATAACACACAACCACATCGGTAAATCTTCCCCTACCATCACTGTCTCCTTGTTTTGGAGCATATTTTCCCCATCATGATGGCTGCCAACTGTACTTGGATAGAGTGTCTGCCAGAGTTAAATACAAAATAGGACTGGTTCTACTCTAGATTTCTCTCAGTATAGTATATCTCTGATATGTGGTCAAAAACATATTTACACATCCTACAGGACTTAATCAAAGTCTAGAATGAAATGTGATGTAAGTTAGTTAAAGGATAGCGATTAAAGAACATTCTGGTTTCATATGTTAAAAATATTGATCATCTTCACACATACTGTTATTAAAATGTTTAATGTCTGTTTGGGCTTAGGTCCTGTGTTATTGTTCGTTGTCATTCCGTCTGATAGCTCTGATTGATCACAATTTACCATGATCAATTTTCCAAAACTGAAAGCACACTTTAAGAACATAGTCAGCAGTTTGCTTGTTCCAGGTTGTTCAGTATCTCAGCAATTCCTGTCCACGTCACTCAACGTTGTTTTCATGTTTCAGATTGTTCTGTACCGCAGTGTGACCTGTCAAAGTCCTTCAACGGTGTTGTCTTGTTCCAGATTGTTCAGTATTCCACTCTCACCTGCTCAACGCATTCAAATTTTGTTTCTTGTTCCAGGTTGTTCTGTATCCCAGTATGATCTGTCCAACTCATCTCACACTTCATTGGGGAATCCCGGACATCGTGGCTGTGTATCACAAGGTAACTAATAGTGAAGGGTCACTCACAGCCTAAACATGTCTCCCATAACTGTGCAGCATCTGTCTTCAGTAGGACCCGATTAGGAATGAACCTAACTGTAAGTTAGCATACTTTGTACATTGATGTTGTTACTAGTTTTATTGGAGAAGAAATATTTAAAAAATTAAAATATATTGCTTTTTGTTTAGTCCCTAGCCTTATGTGAAAATGTATTGTAGATTGTATGTATAATTATGCATCTATTTTACTTAAACACCAAATCCATCTGGTGTTACAATTTCTGGGAAGACGTCCTCTAGTTTTCTGGTGTTCTTGTTTTCAGCATCTCTTAGCATCAGGATCAAGCAGCTGAATGAAGTGTTTGAGGGAATTCACACACTCCACACAGCAGAAGAACTCCTGAAAAAACACAACCATGTGGCAGTTTGTGGAGCTCCTGGCGATGGGAAACAAGCATTGCTCTCAAGATATGTGAGAAATATCTGCAAAAGAAATATGAAGTTGTGTTTGTTGAAAATCTTGAAGAGTTTCAAGCAGATACAATAATTCAACGACAGTGTGACATGCTGATTGTGTTTGATGATATGTTTGGTTCTGTAGCATTTCCATCCCATCTGCAGAAAATCAAGAAAGTGTTGACCGCCCTGGCTGATGATATAGTAAACATCTCAGTCCAGAAGGAGCAACAGGACAAGAGGAAGAGAGAGCTGAAAAATTGAATGCAGACAAGAAGAATGAGACTTTAGGTGATGATGATTCAAAAAGCCTCTACAACTCCGCTTCATCTTCACATCTAGAACATACAACTGGAATGAAGGATGTAACAGACTTCACCAGTTTAAAATTAACCTCTTCAACCCTGTGAGTGTTATTAATATGACCACAACTACTCTGACTACTAAGGAAAAGGAATCTATAATAAAATCCGTCTGGAAAAGAAATCACATGTTTGATATCTCCAGTCAGGACAAGAACACAATTACACAATTACATGACAACGTGTTTGGGTTTCCACTCATCTGTCACCTTTACTGTACCAACCCAGCCTTCCAGGTACACAAAATCACTAACTTCTTTCAGAACCCTGTGACCTATCTGAGAGGTGACCTTGACACCATTATCCGTGAAGGTAGCAGCAGATCAGCAGCCTCGTTCTCCCTCGTCCTGTGTGGGGAAGTTGACCTTGTCTCCTTCAAGTCGGGGACAAAATGTGCAGCATTGTTTCAGGTTGTAAAGGAGGAGATAGCGTCTTGCAATCGAACAGACATCGGTAAGGAGATCCGCAACTTTATCGGCACCTACTGTACAGTGGAGAATCATGTTGCCTCCTTCTCTCATCCATCCATCCACGACGCTGCAGCTTGTGCTTTGGGCCATCTCAATGACGTGTTGTTACTGGAACATTGCTCCCTGCAGTTGCTATATGAAAGAGTCAGACTTAACAGGGATGCTAGCTTTCAGTCAACCCACATTGATGATGTCACAAACATGATCTACATCACTTCCAGTCTACATCCTTTAGTGATCTCCAGACTGGTGCAAGGTGTCCGAGAAGGGTGTTTTAGATGGACAGTTGGTCACTCTATATTCAGCAACGTCCAAATAGCCTCCTCCTTCTTGACACAAATTATGCCAGACCTGCCCGAGATTGTTCACAGAAAAGATACGAAATCCGGTGAATGCTTTCTGTATTGGGTCTCAGTTTCATCTAACCATTCACTGTTTGAACACTCGGTGTCACTGATGTGTAAAGAGACAGACCTTTCAACTTCTATTGTCAGTGACTTCTACGATAGTATCATAGGCTGTATACAGAGTGGCAATCTACTGTATCTTCAGCGTACTGCTGCTGCACTCAAACAGCTAGACAGTTTTGATGTTGACAGGAGGACAAAAGACCACAAACACTGCTGATGGTTGCTGCTGAGGCAGGACAGCTGGATGTGTTCAACTTCCTACTGAAAGAGGGAGCTGATGTTTCAGCGACAGACAATCGACATTGCAATTGTCTTCATTTTTCATGTAAATCAGGAAGCAAAGATATAGTAAACGTTCTCCTTAAACAGTTTCAACATCTGATCAATGTTGGTGACGAAGATGGAAATACTCCTGCAATTTTATGTGCTAAATCAGGGCAGGTGGAAATCCTCAAACTTCTTGTCTCGCACAAAGCAGATTTAACTAACACGACTAAGTATGACAGGATGAACACTTTTCGAATAGGTTGTATCAATGGTCATGTATCAGTTGTAACATATTTGTTGACGTGTGAAGCCTTTAATCTTGACATGCAAGGAGGATTGATGAAACAAACAGCACTGATGTTGGCAGCTTCAAGAGGACACTATGATGTATACAATCTTCTTGTGTCGGAGGGAGCTGATCTGTCACTGACTGATAAATACAACAGTGACTGTTTGATGTTGGCATGTGAGGGAGGTAACATGTCTATAGTGAAACACCTCCTTTCCTTGGCAACATTTAACATCAACAGGCAAGGGGGGATTTTGCATCAATCAGCAGTTATGATGGCAGCTTCAAGGGGACACTATGATGTATACAATCTTCTTGTGTCGGAGGGAGCTGATCTGTCACTGACTGATAAAGACAACAGTGACTGCTTGAAATTGGCATGTTGCGGAGGTAACATGTCTATAGTGAAACACCTCCTTTCCTTGGCAACATTTGACATCAACAGGCAAGGGGGGAGTTTGCATCAATCAGCAGTTAGGATGGCAGCTGAAAGAGGACACTATGATGTATACAATCTTCTTGTGTCGGAGGGAGCTGATCTGTCACTGACTGATAAATTCAACAGTGACTGCTTGATAATGGCATGTTGCGGAGGTAACATGTCTATAGTGAAACACCTCCTTTCCTTGGAAACATTTAACATCAACAGGCAAGAGGAGGTTTGGCATCAATCAGCAGTTATGATGGCAGCTTCAAGAGGACACTATGATGTATACAATCTTCTTGTGTCGGAGGGAGCTGATCTGTCACTGACTGATAAATACAACAGTGACTGCTTGATGTTGGCATGTGAGGGGGGTAACATGTCTATAGTGAAACACCTCCTTTCCTTGGAAACATTTGACATCAACAGGCAAGGGGGGAGTTTGCATCAATCAGCAGTTATGATGGCAGCTGAAAGAGGACACTATGATGTATACAATCTTCTTGTGTCGGAGGGAGCTGATCTGTCACTGACTGATAAAGACAACAGTGACTGCTTGATGTTGGCATGTGAGGGAGGTAACATGTTGTTAGTGAGACACCTCCTTTCTTTGGAAACAGTTGACATCAACAGTCAAGGGGGGAGTTTCCATCAATCAGCAGTTATGATGGCAGCTTCAAGAGGACACTATGATTTATACAATCTTCTTGTGTCGGAGGGAGCTGATCTGTCACTGACTGATAAATTCAACAGTGACTGCTTGATGTGTGCATGTTGGGGAGGTAACATGTCTATAGTGAAACACCTCCTTTCCTTGGCAATATTTAACATCAACTTGCAAGGGGCGATTTTGCATCAATCAGCAGTTATGATGGCAGCTTCAAGAGGAGACTATGATGTATACAATCTTCTTGTGTCGGAGGGAGCTGATCTGTCACTGACTGATAAAGACAACAGTGACTGCTTGAAATTGGCATGTTGCGGAGGTAACATGTCTATAGTGAAACACCTCCTTTCCTTGGAAACATTTGACATCAACAGGCAAGGGGGAGCTGATGGTCAGTCAGCAGTTATGATGGCAGCTTCAAGGGGACAATATGATGTATACAATCTTCTTGTGTCGGAGGGAGCTGATCTGTCACTAACTGATACAGGCAACAGTGACTGCTTGATGTTGGCTTGTTGGGGAGGTAACATGTCTATAGTGAAACACCTCCTTTCCTTGAAACAATTCGGCCAGGGTCAACGGGGATTAGAGAAGTATGTCTCTTTTGCAGAAAAATGGCTCAACAAAGCCATTGTGAATCTTCTTAGGTCCTCTTCATCATGATGATAGTTGCCCCGGACTGAAGACTGAACGTTGTGAACATGGTGTCTGAACAGGTGTATGACTGATATATAACTGGCACTGCACAAGCATGTATATAACATGTTATGATGACTCCTGAAGAGAATACATATCTGTGCTACTACGAAAGTTGATAAATCAATATTTTGTGTTTCAGTGTAACTACAGAGATTTAAAGTTAAAATAGTGCATGTGTGTTACAAATCATACCAATTGCTTATTTTTTGCTATTTGCTACGTTACTGTTTTTAAGTAGAAATGTCACCAGAGAATGTGTTCATTATTTGATTATTCTAGGAGTTTTGGTATTTTTCCAACTGAGACAGGTGGTATAAAAAAATAACCTTTATGGCACTGTTAAATATTAACATTGGATGAATTAAATTTTATTAACAGAGTTTTCGACCCAAAACCTGACTAGAAGTATTTAATACCAACCCCTTCCGTAGGCACTACGTCCAACCCTGACCTCGGAGAAAGTTTGTAAGCTGCTTGGTTCTTCTCACTTTTATCCGACACTAATATTGTAATGTTTCACAAATACTGTTTAATGAAGATTTACATTAGGCCACTGGGGGTATTCCTCCGTTGGTAGTCCATCAAGTGTCATAAGTGTTAGTCTTGCGTGAGTCAATATCTGTATCTACGCTTTTCGGTAAACATTCACAAAATGATACATATGTTATATTTGGGATTACACTTTCTCAGTAAAGTACAGATTTGGGATTCGAACCCACACCCTCAAAATCAGCAATCCCAGTTCATAAATAATATGGTCTGGATTTCCATTTGCATATGTGATTCGCTACTCTACTAGTATCGGAATGAAAGGACGATAACCTGTGTCGTTTATTCGGCAACATTCCACCTGCACCATCTGAGTCTATTTCTTTTGACTATGGTGACAAACATTACATCAATAAACTTTGTAAATACCCGAGAAGGTCCATTCAAACGTATGTACAGTTTATGCCTTTTGGTGATTCTGTATTATTATTCTTATTATTAATATATTATCGCTTATTTGTTTCTTTGTTTATTTTACATGATGACAATGAAGGGTATATCATAAATTTTGTATTAATTGCTAGTATTGGCTACAACTGCCAGGTACTAAACTTATGGCCAAAGTCCTAGATTTATGCTGGAAGCTGAAGAACTTTAAGTTCCTATGATCTATGGTAAGGTTTTGGTTGCTAGTGTTGTACTGCTCGTATTTTATAAATATTGAATGTGATATTGATCTATGTGTTGATGAGAATATTGTATTACCATATGTATGTATTTCCACCAACATTTGTGTAGAATTGAATTCATGTTAATTGTGATCTTTGCAGAATAGAACCAACTTGACTTATTGTTATTTAATATTGACGTATCAATTTCACTTACTACACACAAGAAAGATATTCCTGTGTAAGTATCTGGATTAATTATCTAGATTTTGTTTCTTGCTTTTCACTATGGAAGTGATCTTTTGTATATTTTCACCGTTATTGTTACTTTGCATATATATTTGTACCTTTGTCTCATGTATCAATAAATTTGTTAACTCTGACTAAACTTATTATTTCGTAATCATGCGATAAGACTGGAGCTTTATATTTCTCATCTGTACGTTCAATGTCTGAAATTTATCATTCGCACTTTCGTTTGTATGTTTATTTGTGTGGTTTGTTTGTTTGTTTGTGTGAGTGAGTGTGTGTGTGTGTGTGTGTAAGAAATATACATTTGGACATGATTGTAAGGTGGACAGCCTGTAATAATTACATTAGGATGTGTTTTCAACAAATCATCATTATTATTGTTTAAACCAGGTTATAATCTAATTTTCGAGTGTTTCAGTAATGTTAAGTACTGCTGGAAGTAAGGTCGGTTGGTTTGTTGTTTAACGCCGCACAAAGCAATATTCCAGCTACATGGCGGAGGTCTGTAAATAATCGAGACCAGGCAATCCAGTGATGAACATCATGAGCATCGGTCAGTTGGGATACGATAACATGTGTCAGCGAACCTGACCATCCGATACGGTAAGTTCCCTTTAACTACAAGAATGGGTTGCTGAAGACCAATTCTGATCCGGATCTTCACGGGTGTGTTCTTGATTGAAGTAGCACTGATGTTAATATGTAATATGTAATTACAGATGATGTTAATATGTAATATGTAATTACAGAGGGGCACAAGTCGCCAATTCCCCCCCCCCCCCTTTTTTGTGTCCTGAGAGTTTATTATATGACCCGTAAAAACGGGTGAAAATGCCGTGTGCACCCACCACCCCTTTTTCTCAAGAGTGTGTGCGCGCACGCGCACACGCACACGCACACGCACACGCACACACACACACACACACACACCTATTCCTCAAAAATCTGTATACGCCCCTGTCGGGTATGACACTTACCTTGAACAAGTGACTGATGTTGACAGATGTTGCACAGACCATGCTTCCGATTGTTGGAGCACAATTGCAGCCATTAACTGGACGGAATCATGCTAATGACGCGACAACAAAACGTTTAGTCACTTTGACTTTTTTACAATACCGCCCCATGCTTCCGATTCAGTCTTCCCTCATAGTAACTACAGTAACTTAACTACCTCTGCTGAATCGTAACAAAACTTATGCAAAACAACAAAACTGTTCTATACTAAACAGAAAAAGAAACTTCACGTGTCACTCTATGCTTAAAACCATGTTAACTTACAGGTTAGAATACCCGAAAGGGGTACCAACATCGAACAAGCTCCTACACCATATTCTATTCTTCTATTCTCCCTGATAAAATACACAAATATAGAATTAGGTGCAGGAGCTTGTTCGATTTCAGTACCACGTTCGCCCCCTCTCGCGTTCACAACTGACAATCTATAAAAGCTGCCTAAAGACGTATCTCTTTCAAAAGTTCTATAAAGATTGAGTTCAGGCAATTTGTCTGGTCACCCCATGACGCCTAAACTCAGAGATCCGGGCGTCACGAAGGCGTCAAACGTTCGAGCTGATCTATGCACGTCGCCAACTTGCAATGTGAGAGACGGTAGCCCAGCTTGCTTAGGTAAGATGGTTCCCGGTTCTCTTTACGCATCGTCAATCCCGCTCTGTGACGCAACTGGCCTCAGACCACAGTTACCCCCCTTAACTTTTACCATGACCCGGAAGTAAAATATGAGAATATAGTGCCTTGTTTAAATGGGCTGTTCTGCTTGTGCTGATTTTTTCAGGGTGACTTGTGATAGCTTAAATGAAAGGTAAGACATTGTACTTTATTGCAACATTTTTTTGGTCCACAATCTACTCATGGTATTGACACCAGCCTTCCTTGATTTGACCCCAAGTTCAAGGCTGTCTGGTGTGTTTCGGCTCGAAACTTCCGGTGACCATTGTTTACAGTGGATACAGCAAAATCGACATGGTCGACCCAGGCTCATATTTTGCCGATTAAGTGACAAGTGGCAGGTTGGTCAGCATGCAACAGGAGAACAGCCTACGACCGATATTAATTATGGTGCACTGGCATGTCACTGTAGATAGCAAAGAAGGAAAATAATTGTGGTCTGAGGCCAGCTCTTACCTCAACGAACGGGAACCAGCTGGGCCCCGTCTCACATATCGCAATACACGAGCCGGTACAGGTTAAAAAGACGATGGCTATGAAGGCCTACGAAAAACCAACATTGACAATGTTATGTCATTTTCCACTGGTTGCTATTTTTAAACGGCTGCGCTGTCTCCGACGGCCAAACCACATTTTGTATCGTTTTTAAAAAAATCGCTGTCATGCAGGCGCTGGAAAGACCATTGAAAATAAAAATATCTTGGAAAATTCTTGATCAAAATTTTTACTTTCTGTTATATTGCGTATTTGATATCAATATTGACGAGAAATAATAGTAAACGTAAATATTCGTTTTATTTGCGTGAAAGGATCGACGCTTTTCAAATACACACCCTAATTTCCCTACACGATAAAGATTTTTATTATAAGTTTGTCAGAAAACTGTGAGCGAATAAAATCATCTCTGTTGTATGAAAAATATGCATGTAATTTTTACATATGGACATCGGTCGAGCCACGCATACAAATTAAATCTCGTGTTGCAAATATTCCAAACTTTCCTCGCGGATGACGTGAGAAAGGTGTGTTTTAGAGCAGGTTGGTGCGCCAACATTGGCACAAAATCAGTAGTAAGTCGGAAAATGAATAGATAATATTTTGTGGCGATATATAAGAATTGAATTATCAACTGAGAAAATGCTGAATTTTTCCTGTAGACACGTTATTACAGCAACACGCGACGCATCAACACCGCGGCAAACTCTTTGTTCATCAATCAACATGGTTAGATTTTTTAAGCAATAAGGTCTTGTCATCAGTACGAAGTGGTTATATGAAATCGAGGAATAAAGATAAGGTGTGGAAACGAAGGCGGTGCAAACTGTACTTGTGTAAAATGTAAACAAATCATCACAATTCAGTTCTTAGACTGTGTAGCATTTAGATTTATGAACGTTGGATAATTAGTTTGTTTTGAACATACTTATTATAAGCTAGTGCTGTATACAAAATCTCGTACCTTTAGACTAGTGTCAGCAGATCTAAATTTACTCAGAGTTTGGCTGCTTAGCCTCAACACCAACTTTTTCCAGCACAATGCCCTTGTGCAAAAATGTCGGAGCGTAGATCCAATACAACGTTCACTTTTAAGATAATGTGAAACTGTGCGTCACAAAATACTTCCGCATCCAGTGGTTGTATTATTTTCAGCAATTTCATTAAATTTGAAGATATGACTAGTACTCTGTTACTAATGATGCAAAATTAGTCAAAATACATCTACACAAACAGGAGAATATGGGAATCTAAGAAGTAATTTACATATCGGATAGGGCCATCCAAGTCGCTATTTGGTTCTTTTTTCATGTAGTGTGTTGTCATCTTTCTTATAAATTGTGAAACTACCAAAACGTATCCACTCACATTGGGGAACTTTGTATTGGAATAGTTTAGTTCAGGGTTAACAAACCATAACGAAAATATAGCGTCCATATCCACAACAAATTCTATCCAAGTGTCCTGAGTTACACTGAACTGGTGTTAAGCATATAGGAGTTATGCCCCTTTATCTGTATACCGTATTTAAAAGCGGGGACGAGTACATGAAGTTATGATTTAAAGGACCATTCCTTAATATATTTATTTTAAGACCAAGGGAGAATACATTTGCGAAGAATTGCAAAGGTCTATACCCGGCGCTTATTAGAGTCCCGGCGCTTATTTCTTAAAGCACTGCTTTATCCCCGGTTATTAGAGCGCCGGCGCTTTATAGAGGAAATACGGTATATACGTGTATGGCCACTCTGTCGTCGTTTGACGTCATAGAACAAAATCCATTTTAGACATTTATTGCGAGTCATTTTTAAGGTTGAGTCTATTTATTTATGAAACGTTATGCATAAGCACACAAACCCATTTCTTATATACTTATGTCGTTCAGATATCAGACTTTTCACTTTCCATAAAGAGGCCAAATTAAAAAAAGTCGCAGCACAGTGGTTATCGGTGCATGGTAAAAACCGGAGACCCTTACTGTTTTTTAACGCATAACAAAATTTGACAGTATTTAGCTGTGTTTATTTCTCAAACCGCCGAGGTATTTGCACTTATATTTATACCAACGGATAGGAAATTTTATATTCTACATTTCTGTACGCAGATCCAGGACCACGCAAGAGCAATTCTAGCTCAACCTTCACTTTTCAAACCTAATGATTCCCAGATCTTTCAGCAGGGTCCCGTTCCTCAAAGCGATCGTAGCGCTAAGGTGATCGTAACTCCCATACTTTTACATCGACTTACGACAGTCGTAGCGCTACGATCGCTTAGAGAAACGGGGCCCAGGGCGTCAATGCACAACTTGACCAGCTTGACCAATCCAGATGTGACGGCGGCCTGTACCGGCTCCTAGCTTTGGCGCAAGGTGGCGCGCGCAAAGGGAGCCGGGAACCAGCTTATGCGGGAAGGAGCTCGGTGCTCACCGAAGGGAGAGCACTCTAGTTTGTTGTCGAGTCGATAAACAAAACAATCACTCCGACAGATGCAACGACCCAGTACAGGAGACTGATGTAACAGAGTGATCGATAACCTGATCATGGAAGAGGAGGAGGCAGATCTTCAAACGTGTGATGCTTTCAAAAGTGAGTATGTGGAAGGATATTTTTAAGGAAAACAGATTGATCAGATGCCGAAATGGGACTGACTGTCGCTGCGTTTCATTTCATGCAACAAATAGGATTGTCACTGCTAGTCGGGCAACAATCTTTGGTATGCAATGTTCTGATCGTTGACTGCTACTCATATAAACAGTAAACAGCTTATCACAAGAGTAATTTTGCATGGGAAAAACATGGTATATAGTTCCAAATGATAGTGATTTTACAAACTGATGGCAATAAACATATGCATGTTAGAAGTAATAGAACTATACTCAGTCAGATGAAATGAATTATCACATCACGTTCAAGATTTTAACATTCAATGACGTACCAGGTTTTTGAAATTTCAGAATTATCTTTTGTACAATTTCTGATCTATGTAATGAAGTTGTGGTGTTTGAGTACTTGAAATATGCATCCAAAAGACACGTCAGAGTTTAAGGTTATCAAGGGATCTTGATTTTGAAGCCTTGACAAATTCCTCAATGGACAAACCTTAAATGCAAAATGTTTGTGCAACTCTGATCCCTCATATTGCACATTAGTCCCCAAATATGATCCGTCCCAAATGTTGCCATGGTTACGGATGATTCCTCTCACCACATACATCCTAGGTATGTCCTCCATGTTTATTGTATGTTTGTTCAGCTGAGAAGAAAGCTCAACGCTTGTCCTTGCATCTGCTTGTAACCAGACATCTTCCTCCAGAGGCAACTTCTTCATGGGACCAGGAGAAAATGTAAATATCTTTTGTCTGTATTTATAGGGCCGTCTCCCTATTCTCGTGGGGTTTCCTATTCTCAAGAGTAAACACGCTTTCTGCCTAAATCGCCGATGCACCCATTAATTTTAGCGGTTGTTTACATCACTGACTGGTAACTAGGACGTGGCCCAAGTCTGTGAGTGATAAAAATCTTGCAGTGTCACCTAAAATTGGGGAGTTTATACCATCTTGGACATATCATTACTTTTCCCCTTTCCGTAGGATTGCTCATACATACACTTAATAACATTAATTCCTGGTAATACCAACGAGAATGGGAGAAGCCTCGTTTCGTCAATGGCCGATGGCATTGTTTATCACCGGGCTCACAAGTGGTAGTTCACCTGATGGATCTGGCAGCTGATAGATGTAGATGTTAGGGGAGAAGGCCCTTCGTTTAAAAACAACAAGCATGAATACGATAAGAATTGTTTGTGTTATTTTTTCAGCCGATATCCGTAAGTACCGCAAGAGTAGGAAATGCCTTCCTATCTACTTTGTTAGTGAGGCAAATTCTGGGGTGGGGGATAAAAGAAGGGTGCTGTTTATGGGCACAGCTTACTGTAGCGATAATTGGCTCCTTGTTCGATCGACATTTTAGAAGTTGGTGAGTCAAAATAGAAGAAAACAACTTTATTGATGACAACTTCTTGTTTATTGCATTGAGCGACGTTTCGATGTAGATTCATACACCACCATGATTATATTAACAGTGACTACAACCAAATGATTAGAAATATATATGAAGTATGTTTCAACAAACCGCAGATAACATGGTATGTTGTGACAAACAGCAGATTAACATTAACAACAGCATAGTTGGCCCCTTGCATTTGTTAAAACTGATATAAAATACAAAATTTTTGATGCTCCAAGCAGTATCCGAATGTTTTCACAGGCCCCTTCACAAGATAATCATTCCTACCGTATATTCTGAATAGCAAGTTCATTTGGGCAAATTTTGATAATCAAAATAAGCATGGTAGTAATTATAAACATGGTAATCTAAGTATAAACATGGTAATCTAAGTATAAACATGGTAATCTAAGTATAAACATGGTAATCTAATTATAAACATGGTAATCTAAGTTTAAACATGGTAGTATAGTTAATATCGAGAACTCAGTAAGCATGATTATCCAATTAATTGCAAACATGGTAATCTTATTATAAACATGGTAAGCATAGTTAACATAAAGAAAATGCTAAGTGTCTTTATCCAATTAATTAAGAACCTGGTGATCTAATCATAGACATCTTAAGGGCAGTTAACATAGGCAACATAGGCAGGTGAATTATAAACATGGTAATCAAATTATAGACATGGTAAGCACAGGTAATGTAGAGAACTCAAAAAGCATGATTATCCAATTAATTATGAACATGGTAATCAAATTATAGGCATGGTAAGATTGCTAACATAGAGAACATGCTAAGCATGATTATTAGTTTAATTTTGATTAGAGCTTAGATGCAACAAAGAAATGAAACATTATTAAAACACAATTATCATTTTTTCATGCCATATAATATACATTGCTGATTATGAAAAAAACAAATAAACACAATTATAAGCGTACAATTGCAAATCAAAAGTGCAATATTTTGTACTTGGGTTTACTTCCCTCAAAATGAACACCCGGGATACCGAACCCAGTCAAACTGGGTGGGCGTGCACTTCAGTGTAACGAAGGCTATCATTGGCTGATGCATTTGCCGATGCACTTAGGGCTCTTTGTGTGTGTATAGAGATGTTGGGTTTTGTAAATATATGCACATTTTTTTTGTATAACATTTTGCAATCAACAGACATCATAGCATGTGATGTGTACAATTATCACACCTGCCTGTCTGTATAATTACATAATGTGACAGAGACAGAACTCTGGTGCACGAACCCTAAATCAATGCGTTTTGTTTTGGGTGTATAGCCTGATAGGTGTTAAGTACAACTTGCATGTGGTCAGTGATCGGTTTGTGTATTGAATATTGTCATTAGCAGACAGGCAGGCAGACACATAGGTGTCAATAAAACAGACATTGAGTTTTGTCTGTGACATAGACATATCTATATCACAGTTGCTTTTAAACAGTTAAATCGGTAATCCACTGTCATAACATATTGAAAGCTTGCGCCTGTGAAACATCAACAAAGTCAAAACATTAGAAAATAGCTCACATCAAAGCCTACTTTGAGTACTCACGCCAGCTTAAGGTTTTCCGTCTTGAAATGTCGAACACCTCACTGGTTGACACATAACTGAGTAGATCTAGATCCTTAACAAGGTTCTTTTATGTAAGGAGTAGATTATTTACTATTTGTTGTTTGTGTACACAGCCAAGATTAGACTACTCCTGCTCACGACCTTATAATCCGGGCATGCCGCTTCAAGCTGCACAAACCTATTCACTGCGCATGCACTATGAGCGCACCGCAGCACAGCTGTTGCAAACTCTTTTCACCCCAGCTGGGACGATTTTAGTGAATCTTTTGAACTCCAATTTCGCTGGGGGTTTTACATCGCATTATTTTTCAACTTTATAAGTCGAATTTGTATTTTTGATAATTTGTTACTGTAAGTCCATACTGAAAGGTATCAGAATCTGCAAAGTTGTTATTTTGAGTTGCATGTAAGCTCTAGGTCAGCATTCTTTTCATGTGATTTACATAGCCACTGTGATCTATTTGTGCTGGCTGGTTTAGATCTCGAGTGTAAAAGAGGGAATTAAAATATGTTCATTTCTACATCAAAAATGATTCTGCTTTATTTTGAATGTTTGTGGCCAGGGCAAATCTGCATATGGAAACAAAAAGACCTGTCTTCAACAAAACTATTTCTTCTATTTTCTTTGGTATTCGCGAAACTAAAAATATATTAATACAGAAAAATCATTTGTTGTCAAATTTGCAGAATTTAAATCTGTAACAGATTGCACAGCAAGAAAAAGTAGCAGAGAACAAAGCAAAACAGCAGATACCATCAAAAGATAATCAAAGTAGTTTAGACAATGATCATAAACATGACAATGACAGTGGACATAATGAGCATAGTAAGCCGAGTAAGCATGACTATCAAAGTAAGCATGGTGTGCTTAATGAGCATAAGGCCAGTACAATGACATTATTTTTTACAAAGCACGCATGACACATGTGGACTCACCTTAAGCAAGTGAGTTTGTTCATGAATTGCCTCTGTTCACCCAGCAGAAAATGGACACCTGGTGGGATAAGCCATATAGCTTCCAGCGTCTATCAGGCAGCTTGGGTTATCCAGGGTAATAACGTGTTAGCACACAGCATGCACAAGTCCCTGGAAACCGGCACTTTATTAATAGCCATTATTATCATATTGCACAGTTGGACGTTTCACTTTCTTTTGAGAAACAAGTCTGTAAAGAGAAATGATCGTTCCTGGTTACTGTTTTTCGAAACAAAGACAGTCAGAGTTAAGCCTCCCACTCATCCAACTGTCATAGCTAGTAATTCAGAACAGCCATCGTCCAAGTATTTCCAAAGGCCAGTTACTATGTAGTCAAGACATTTGAGACTTAACTGTAATTATGTATAAAATCTTCATCATCCTATCATCATACATTGACATGTCAGTGAACCAGTACCAACCAGGGGCTCCTTTCATGAAGCAACATTTACTAAGGTTAACCTTAACTCCCATTCTTTAACATTGCACTAAGGTTACCTTAGTGACTTACGATCACCTTAGTGCTTTGTGAAAGGAGGCCCAGCATGCCATTTAGAAAGGGGTTCACCAGACACCACACTGGTACAATAACACAACCAAGATTAATCATGATGAATTAAAAGAAGCATTTTTCATGTTTCACAGCTTAACAGCCCTTTGTGAGATCACACATGTTCGACTAGACCGTGAAAACATCAGTCATATTGACAGTCTGGAGCTTCTGAGTGATAAAGTCACCAACGTGTATCTCCAACAGGTGAGTGTGTGTGTGTGTGTGTGTGTGTGTGTGTGTGTGTGTGTGTGTGTAGTGGTTAAAGTGTTTAATTAGCTTGTCATCTCTAAAACCTGGGTTCAATTGCCTATATGGGTATAATGTGTGAAGCCCATTTCTGGTGTTCATGAATTTCACAGCTTGGTGTTCATGAATTTCATAGTTTTGCACCTGTTTGTCTCCGGCCAATTCTGGTGTCCCCTGTCGGCATATTGTTGGAGTATTGCTAGAAGTGGCATAAGGTTAGAGGGAAATTCAGGTGAGTTTCATTGATATATGATAAAGGGACTTTAAACACTAGGGTAGGGGTGTACAGATTATGAGCACTGGATGATAGTCACTTCTAATGTGATGTTTAATATACACAGTGACTTTGTAGACACAGTGAGATCATGGACTCATTGACATCATAGACACAGTGAGATCATGGACACAGTGACATCATAACCTCATTGACATCATAGACACACTGACATCAGAGACACAGTGACATAATAGACATAGTGACATCCTTAACGCAGGTACCTCATAGACGCAGTGACATCATAGACACAGTGATGTCATAGACACAGTGATGTCATAGACACGGTGATGTCATCGGCACACTGACATCATAGACATAGTGACATCATAGACACAGTTGCATCATAGACACAGTGACGTCATAGGCACAGTGACATCATAGACACAGTGAGATCAGAGACATAGTGACATCATAGACATAGTGACATCAGAGACAGTGACATCAGAGACTTAGTGACATCGTAGACACAGTGTGATCATGGACTCAATGACATCACAAACACAGTGACATCACAGACCAAATGACAGCAAAGATTCAGTGACATCGGAGACAGTGACATCATAGACTTAATGACATCATTGGTGATGTCATGTACATGGTGGTGTCATAGATACAGTGACATCAGAGACACAGTGACATCAGAGACACAGTGGCATCAGAGACACAGTTGCATCAGAGGCACGGTAACATCATAGACTCAGTGATGGACGCAGTGAAATCTTGGTTTCTGTAAGTTCATGGAACATGTCCCCAAAAATCACTCTCTACACAGTGTCCAAGTTCAAGTTTATGTTTCCGTAGACAACACTGGTCAAGGTAGTTTCAAGTGTTGTGTTCCTGTCTTTCATGTCACAAACTTTGTATTTCCTTCAAAAGAATCAAATGCTGTACATGCCAGAGAAAGCAGATTTTGATTTGGACAGTTGTACTTGCTTCCAGAACCGGATCACACGCATCAGCAACCTCGACTGCCTGAAAAACTTACAGTTTCTGACACTGGCCGGCAACCTCTTACAGAAGGTGGAGAACCTCAGTAAACTCTCCAAGCTTCTCTTCCTTGACCTCTCAGACAACCGCATAGCACAGTTTGACATTGGTAAGGTGCCACCCCAGCTCTGTGTTTGGAGACCAACAATTCAGGGAGCAACCTTGTGTGTTTTCTCAAGGTACTAGTTCAAGATTAAAGCCCTAAATGATCTGAAATAATGCCTCTGTATTTTTAGGCATGCTAGGGAATGCACAGGGGTGTCCCCAGGAATGTGGAAGTAGGGTGTCTGTGAACAACGAGGAGAGTTTTATGGATATAAATCTTTTTATCATTAATATGAGCAATGTTTCAGTGTAGCTACAAACAAAATTTTAAGCAAGTGATGTACAATACTGCAGGCAAGGCTATATGTTACTAGTAAAATTTGAACAGTAAATTGGTTGTTCTTTACACAATTATTAAGCTTGATCTACAAGATTGGAGGATGTATACACAAGAAGGCAGTTGTTACACAAGCAGAATTAATGAAGGAGGGATTAATGGGTAGGGGAAGTCAATGATATGACAGACAGGAGAATAATGGAATTAAGATTGCTTGGTGATGAGTTGGTGGTAGGCAGTGGGGATGTAATATCCTTGGTCTCTGTTCATGGTCTATTGGAGTCTCTTGATGTGAATGGATTATAGTAGTCTCCTGATCTTGTATAGTTTGGCATGAAATGCATGTGGACCCGTTTTTTGTAAATATCTCTTCATCCAATGATCCAATCGATCTCAAACTGTGCAAGTGGATGTTTTGTCAGACAACCTAATCACATTGTAAATCACCGATTTTATGCATTTGTATTAAAGAATCTGTCTATGTAACTGTCAACAAAATAAACAGCAGAACGCAGACTGCTTGCAGAGGGAGGGAGCCAATGACCTGTAACAGCGGCAGTGTTACAGATTCTGATTAAGCGATGCGAGCAATCACTTGGTGTTTGGAGACTGTGCGCTATAGAAGATGACTTATTATTATTAGTGGTATATCCATGTAACTCTCCCCTGTTCACTCATAATCACCTCGGTGTAGTGGTTAGAGCCGCCTGCCTGGAGAGCGAATGTCGTGGGTCTCGATCCCCGACCGCATCATACCAAAAGACGCTAAAATATGGTACTTGTTGGTCCCTGCCTGGCGCTTTGGCATTAATGGGTACAACAAGGACTGGTCGCTCGAGTCAGTATAATGTGTCTGAGTGGGGTATTCATGCTTCACCGGGCATGGTATCTCAGTGGGATGGCACTATAAAACCAACTTAAGCCTGGGCTAGTACAAGCAGCCGCACATACACACGCATGCACGTCGTCATCTGAGCGAAATATTCTCAAGCATGATGTTAAACCCAATGTCACCTCACCTCCCTGTTGTTCACCACACCAACTTCTGATTGTCACTCACAGAAGGTTGTCCGTCTGTGTTTACGTCATTTTAAGAATACAGTCTCATGAAAAGCATCTGAATATCAACATGTGTCATCCATACACTTATGAATGTCAGCTGTCACGGTCATGTGACCAGCTTCTCTCGTCCAAAGCTGCATATTGTATAGGCTTCAAAATAAATGACCAGTTCTACATGTGTACCTGCCATTGTTTCAAAGCAAAATGCTGATGATCAGTTTTCCAGCCACTGTTTCATGTCAGTACACTGGTGATCAATTTACCTGTCATTATTTCATACCCATTCAGTGATAATCAGTTTACCTGTCACTCTTTCATAACAAATCACCCGTGAAGATCCAGGTTAAAATATTGAACTTCAGTAGCCCATGCTTGTCGTAAGAGGCGACTAACGGGATCGGGTGGTCAGGCTCGCTGACTTGGTTGACAAAAGTCATTGGTTCCCAATTGTGTAGATCGATGCTCATGCTGTTGATGACTGGATTGTCTGGTCCAGACTCTTTTTTACAGACCGCTGCCATATAGCTGGAATATTGCTGAGTGTGACATAAAACTAAACTCACTCACTCACTCATAACAATACACCAATTATCAGTTTACCATCCGTGAAGGTCCGGGTGAGAATTGATCTTCAGCAACCCCTGCTTGTCGTAAAAGGCCACTTACGGAATCAGTAGGTCAGACTCGCTGACTTGGTTGACACATGTCATCATATCCCAATTGCGTAGATCAATGCTCATGCTGTTGATCACTGATGATCAGTTTACCTGACATTTCAGGGGTGGAAATAACTCATTGCCTGACGCCCCAGTCCAGTGCTTTTTTCTGTTGGGCTAGCAAATTTGTATGTCACGCTGTACCGGTGTCCAGTTGACTTTCCAATGTTAATTATGTTGTTTATTTAAAAAATCACCAAGAAAATAAGCCAGTATAGTGGAAAAATTATCAGGGTAAGTGATTTTACATGTGCAACTGTACCAGAGTACATTAGCAATTTTAAAGTTATTTCCACCCCTGCATTTTTTATAGCAAGACACCAATGATTGATTTACCTGATACTGTTCCAGATGAATTCCCCCAGTCTCTGATACTGCTGAACCTGTCTGGTAACCCCTGTACTCAGATGCCAGACTACCGGTGAGATACTGGCTTCATAATGTTGACAAACTACATCTTGTACATAACTCACAACTTAAAAAATCTTTCTTTATTTAAACTTGATATGGAAGAATACTGCTGTATCTGTAACAGAACTGGGTCAGTGGAGTTTGTTTGTTTGTTTATATCATATGTTGCGGCACGTGGTCCTGTGCATAGAGCTCAGGTCACAAATCAGTTAAAGTTAACCAACGTTGTGTGCGGAGAGTAATTGGATGGGTGACCGTGTTGACTCCTGAGTGTTTCTAGAACTTCAGTCCTGCCCCACAACGAAACACATTTGATACATGTGGCCTCCCCTCAGGTTATGCAAGTTTGTTCAAAATTGCCTCTGTTCACCCATCTGAAAAATGGTTATCCCTGTGGGATAAATCATGTGACTATAACCTTCTAGCATTACCCTGTGGGATAAATCATGTGACTATAACCTTCTAGCGCTACCCTGTGGGATAAATCATGTGACTATAACCTTCTAGCACTACCCTGTGGGATAAATCATGTGACTATAACCTTCTAGCGCTACCCTGTGGGATAAATCATGTGACTATAACCTTCTAGCGCTACCCTGTGGTATAAATCATGTGACTATGACCTTCTAGCGCTGTCCTGTGGGATAAATCATGTGACTATAACCTTCTAGCATTACCCTGTGGGATAAATCATGTGACTATAACGTTCTAGCGCTACCCTGTGGGATAAATCATGTTGCTATAACCTTCTAGCGCTACCCTGTGGGATAAATCATGTGACTATAACCTTCTAGCTCTACCCTGTGGTATAAATCATGTGACTATAACCTTCTAGCGCTGCCCTGTGATATAAATCATCTGACTATAACCTTCTAGCGCTACCCTGTGGGATAAATCATCTGACTATAACCTTCTAGCGCTACCCTGTGGTATAAATCATGTGACTATAACCTTCTAGCACTACCCTGTGGTATAAATCATGTGACTAAAACCTTCTAGCGCCACCCTGTGGTATAAATCATGTGACTATAACCTTCTAGCTTACCCTGTGGGATAAATCATGTGACTATAACCTTCTAGCTACCCTGTGGGATAAATCATGTGACTATAACGCTCTAGCTACCCTGTGGGATAAATCATGTGAATATAACCTTCTAGCACTACCCTGTGGGATAAAGCATGTGACTATAACCTTCTAGCTTTACCTGTGGGATAAATCATGTGACTATAACCTTCTAGCTACCCCTGTGGGATAAATCATGTGACTATAACCTTCTAGCTACCCTGTGGGATAAATCATGTGACTATAACCTTCTAGCTTACCCTGTGGGATAAATCATGTGACTATAACCTTCTAGCTACCCTGTGGGATAAATCATGTGACTATAACATTCTAGCTACCCTGTGGGATTAATCATGTGACTATAACCTTCTAGCACTACCCTGTGGGATAAAGCATGTGACTATAACCTTCTAGCTACCCTGTGGGATAAAGCATGTGACTATAACCTTCTAGCTACCCTGTGGGATAAATCATGTGACTATAACCTTCTAGCGCTACCCTGTGGGATAAATCATGTGACTATAACGTTCTAGGGCTACCCTGTGGGATAAATCATGTGACTATAACCTTCTAGCGCTACCCTGTGGGATAAATCATGTGACTATAACGTTCTAGCTACCCTGTGGATAAAATCATGTGACTATAACCTTCTAGCGCTACCTGTGGTATAAATCATGTGACTATAACCTTCTAGCTACCCTGTGGGATAAATCATGTGACTATAACCTTCTAGCTACCCTGTGGGATAAATCATGTGACTATAACCTTCTAGCGCTACCTGTGGGATAAATCATGTGACTATAACGCTCTAGCTTACCCTGTGGGATAAATCATGTGACTATAACCTTCTAGCGCCACCCTGTGGGATAAATCATGTGACTATAACCTTCTAGCCTACCTGTGGGATAAATCATGTGACTATAACCTTCTAGCTACCCCTGTGGGATAAATCATGTGACTATAACCTTCTAGCTACCCTGTGGGATAAATCATGTGACTATAACCTTCTAGCTTACCCTGTGGGATAAATCATGTGACTATAACGTTCTAGCTACCCTGTGGGATAAATCATGTGACTATGACCTTCTAGCTGTCCTGTGAGATAAATCATGTGACTATAACCTTCTAGCTTACCCTGTGGGATAAATCATGTGACTATAACGTTCTAGCTACCCTGTGGGATAAATCATGTTGCTATAACCTTCTAGCGCACCCTGTGGGATAAATCATGTGACTATGACCTTCTAGCGCTGTCCTGTGGGATAAATCATGTGACTATAACCTTCTAGCGCTACCCTGTGGGATAAATCATGTGACTATAACCTTCTAGCTCTACCCTGTGGGATAAATCATGTGACTATAACCTTCTAGCGCTACCCTGTGGGATAAATCATGTGACTATAACGTTCTAGCTCTACCCTGTGGGATAAATCATGTGAATATAACGTTCTAGCGCTACCCTGTGGGATAAATCATGTGACTATAACCTTCTAGCGCTATCAGGCTGCTTGGGTTATCTGGGGGAATAATGTATTGTACTATTCATTGTTAGTGCAATGAGCATGTCTCGTGTGGAGTCTGGTGCTATAAAAAATGGACACATTATTTTGTTTGTTTGTTAAATGTCATATTAATTGTTCTGGATTGGACAGTCCAGTGATTGTCAGCCAGATAGACATTGCTTCAGCAATTGTGACAAAGGCTAGGGCACTTCAGTAAAGGGTCTTTCCTCCTCAACAAATCCAATCAGGTGTCTTTTTCCTTCTCTCTTGTTTTCCTATTTTGTTGTGAAAGTTGAAGCATCTTAATTCTTTCAGGTCCGGTAGGCTGCTCAGAGGTGCAAATAACTTTAAAATTGCTAGTGTACTCCGGAACAGTGGCACATGTAAAATCACTTGCCCTGATAATTTTTCTACTATACCGTCCGTTTTCTTGTTGATTTTTTGAAATAAACAACGTAAATAACATTGGAAAGTCAACTGGACACCGGCACAGTGTGATATACAAATTTGCTTGCCTGACAGAAAAAACACTGGACTCGGACGTCGGGCAATGGGTTATTTCCACCCCTGCTGCTGAACATTCTGGTATTGTTGTTTTCCAAATAGATTGATTCACCAATTGTTGTTTAACGCCGCACTCAGCAATATTCCAGCTATATGGCGGTGGTTTGTAACTAATCAAGTCTCGACCAGACAATCCAGTGATCAACAACATGAGCATTGTTCTACACAATGGGGAACCGATGACATGTGTCAACCAAGCCAGCGATCCTGACCACCCGATCCTGTCAGTCACCTCTTACGACAAGTATGGGTTGCTGAAGACCAATTCTAACCCGGATCTTCACGGGTCGTTTTCCAAAAAAGAGACTGGTCACTCTGTGTGTGGGTTTGATTTTTGGTGGTTGGTTGTAGGTCTGTTCCTAGGACTGTATCATATATTGCTGACCCCCATCACCTCTCAGCTATCCCATATGTCGCTTTTCCATCCCTCAGCATAAAGAAGTTCATGTTTTCATGACTGATCATATTTTTCAATGAAACATTTACTATGGATTGTTTATCAGCTTAACTGGCTGGTTTTGCTATCTGGTATATTTTTCTGAATTGTATTTTGTTTCTTTTCATGGAAACAATTTGACTTTGTCTCACACGACTCGAGGCTTCATTCTCAAACTAATGATATTTTTGTGTGAAGCTACAAACTTTGCATTGAGTTTATTCTGAGCTGTTTCCTAATAATATTTTTGGGCTTTTTTATTTCTTGTGTTTCTATGGTAGCAAGTTGGAGTTAGTCTCAAACAAGTAGCATTTGTTGTTAATTATGCAAACAAATATTTCCGCATGAAACCATTATCTTCATAAGTTATAATACAAAACACATTTATAATAACAAATTGAATTTATGTATAAAATTTGGAACTGGGGAGTTGGAGTAAAAATGCATTCTATTTGGATGTTGACCAAACCTTAATGATGGGTTAGTGAATAATGTAACCTTAAAAATAATATTAAAAGAGTGGCCCAAAATACTCATTTTATTAAAAATGATCATTTTACTTAAAATACTTTTGTAATTAGTATAGTCTCATACTGTTCTCCAGAGGCTGCATCATTCAAGACCTGCACAATCTGCAGCAGCTGGACAATGTGGACGCCACTGAGGAGCGAGAGGAGGCGGGATACCCGGTGTCCAGTGAGGAGGAATCGGATGAGACAGAAGAGGAGCCAAGACGCAGGATGATGAGAGAACATGAGGTGGATGGTAAGTTGATCACATGTGGTACTTGATATGTCTGTCAGGAAACAGGTTGTTATCATATATGTGTAATACATGTTAAAAGTTTACAAGATCATATGGGTTTAGTGCAATTAATTGTAATAGTTTTGCCAAATGGTATACAACCACGTCAGCTAAGCAAAAGTTACATGCTCTAAATTTCCTGCGTTGTGTTTTTCCTCAGTGCCTCTACAGAGTCTAACGTCTGAGGTGTTGATGAGGTCACAGACCCGTCTAGAGGAGAGTCTTGCTGACCATCGCAGACACAACATGGAGCTGGACAATATAAGGCTCAAGTACAAGTTGCCCCCAAGTGCTAGATCCACTCCTCACAACACCTGACTCCACTCCACACAACACCTGACTCCACTCCACACAACACCTGACTCCGCTCCACACAACACCTGACTCCGCTCCTCACAACACCTGACTCCACTCCTCACAACACCTGACTCCACTCTACGCAACACCTGACTCTACTCCCAACACCTGACTGCGCTCCACACAAGACTTGACTCCACTCCTCACAACACCTGGCTCCACTCCTCACAACACCTCACTACACAACACCTGACTCCACTTCACACAATACCTGACTCCACTCCACACAACACCTGATTCCACTCTCTCACAACACCTGACTCCGCTCCCCAACACCTGACTCCGCTCCACACAACACCTGACTCCACTCCTCACAACACCTGATTCCCACTCCTCACAACACCTGACTCCGCTCCTCCTGACACCTGACTCCGGCTCCACACAACACCTGACTCCACTCCTCACAACACCTGACTCAACTTCATAACACCTGACTCCGCTCCACACAACACCTGACTCTGCTCCTCACAACACCTGACTCCACTCCACACAACACCTCACTCTGCTCCTCACAACACCTGACTCCGCTCCACACAACACCTGACTCCACTCCTCACAACACCTGATTCCACTCCTCACAACACCTGACTCCGCTCCCAACACCTGACTCCGCTCCACACAACACCTGACTCCACTCCTCACAACACCTGACTCAACTCGCAACACCTGACTCCATTCTACACAACACCTGACTCCGCTCCTCACAACACCTGACTCCGCTCCCAACACCTGACTCCACTCCCAACACCTGACTCCGCTCCACACAACACCTGACTCTGCTCCACACAACACCTGACTCCATTCTACACAACACCTGACTCCACTCCCAACACCTGACTCCGCTCCTCACAACACCTGACTCCGCTTCCAACACCTGACTCCACTCCCAACACCTGACTCCGCTCCACACAACACCTGACTCTGCTCCACACAACACCTGACTCCATTCTACACAACACCTGACTCCACTCCTCACAACACCTGATTCCACTCCACACAACACCTGACTCCATTCCACACAACACCTGACTCCACTCCACACAACACCTGACTCCACTCCTCCCAACACCTGACTCCATTCCACAACACCTGACTCTATTCCACACAACACCTGACGCCACTCCCCGCAACACCTGACTCCACTCCTCAAAACACTTGACTCCTCTCCACACCTGATCCTGCTCTACACAACACATGCCTCCGCCCCACACAACACAGGACACACCATACAACACCTGACTCTACTCCACACCGGATCTGCTCTACACAACACCTGACTCCACTCCACATCTGACCTCGCTCTACATAACACCTGGTTCCTTGCCACACAACACCGTTCTCCACACTACACAACACCTGACTCCACTCCACACCGGATCTGCTCTACACAACACCTGACTCCACTCCACATCTGACCTCGCTCTACATAACACATGATTTCTCGCCACACAACACCGGTCTCCACACTACACAACACCTGACTCCACTCCACACCGGATCTGCTCTACACAACACATGATTTCTCGCCACACAACACTGGTCTCCACACTACACAACACCTGACTCCACTCCACCCAACAGCTGACTGTACTCCACTCCACTCCAAAGTTTTACATGTATTTAGGGAGAATGGAATGATGTTATGTAAAATGGTGTTGGCAATGCACATCAATAAACCTTTTCAGATATATAATCACAATAACCATATCCCGATCTACATAACCTGGGTTAGATCGCATATCATGATCTGTATTACCAGGGTAAGATCACATATCATGTTTTGTATTACCTGGGTAAGGGCACATACCCGATCTGTATTACCTGGGTAAGATCACATATCCCGATCCGTATTACCTGGGCAAGGGCACATATCCAGATCTGTATTTCCTGGGAAGGATCACATATGCCGATCTGTATTACCTGGGTAAGGGCACATATCCCCATCTGTATTACCCAGGTAATATCACATATCCTGATCTCTATTACCTGGGTAAGGGCACATATCCCATCTGTATAACCTGGGTAAGATCACATACCCCGATCTGTATTACCTGGGTAAGATCACATATCCCAAACTGTATTACCTGGGTAAGATCACATGTCCCAAACTGTATTACTTGGGTAAGGGCACATATCATGATCTGTATTACCTGGGTAAGGGCACATCTACTGATATCATCTGGTTGTTCTTTTGTTCTGAGACCTTATATAATTTGTTTCTTGGTTTAAGCTTCTGCCAACATTAAAAGTCAATAATTCAAAAACAATGTCCGACTTGACCAGGCCTCGAAGATATATGGGCCATACCACTTCTTGTTGTATTTATGCCTTTACATGAATCCATCCACAATGAACAAAAGCATATTTTTTATTTATCATTCTATGTCATGGTGACAAGTTATTTTTTGAGACATGTTTACTTGTATCATTTATTTATTTGTGTTGTTGAAATGTATATATTCAGTATCATTCCATTATAGTTCAATGTTGATAAAAAAATCCATGTTTTATATGTTTAAAATGATAAGATTCATTTAGTCGTCAGAAATGAACAAGTTATGTTCAGGCCCAAATCCTTGAAGTATGTAAAATTGTATAATTGCCAAGAAATATATAGGCACAAAACAATGACAATATACCATAATAAGCTAAACACATGTGTTGGGCTTCAAACAGATATTGCACTGATCGAGATTCATCACTTGTATCAGCTCTACATATCTGAGAATCTCATTTGAGTATGGTACATGGGAATTCTGTTTATCTGACTACATTCCTGACAAAATGAACAAGATATATACATCCAAATTGAAAAAACTTCACAAATGAAAATTCCCATTTAATTAAATTAAAAATACTTAACGGTATGACAGTTAGTTTCAGTTGTCTTAAGAGCTTATTTTTGCTTGTTCCAGCAGGATCTAAGCAACAGCTCATTTAGTTCTGATTGCTCGTTTGGAAGGAGATATAATTCTCCGTTTCTGTGACTTTGGCATGTCCATCTGTCATATACTGGACCGAGACACAAATGTGTTATCAATATGTGATTGTATCTAGCACTGGCTAATCAGAAATATCATCGATTGGAAATATTATTAATGATTATTGATATGAAAATTGTGTGATCAATAATATCGTATATCAACCTATGTGGTAGAAAAAAAATCATAATTTTCTCGCACAATACCAATTTAGGACATTATTCGTAATCTGCTTCTAAATTGTGTTCAGAATGTAGTTTTGTTAATAATCACAGCAAAAACATGTCAGCACTCCCAGTGATGTGAAATATTTTCCTTTATTTCAGATAGTTTGGGCATTTTTGCTCGAAGTTACGTCTCCGATAATTAGCGATAATCAATTATTAATTTTTAGTTGATGATTATCAATTCCTATAATCTATATCATCAATAGCCAGACCTAACTGTATGCTTTTAAAGTATTGTTAAACAACCAACGTTTATATTTTTTTACTTTGAAATAAAGGGTTTTGAATCTGTGTTCTGTTTTGTATTGTGTTCTTATGAATCACAGATACAGTTCTATTAGTGATTTGAATTCTGGGAATAGAGTGAGTGAATATGGTTTTACTCCGCTTTTAGCAATATTCCAGCAATATCAAGTTGGGGGACACCAGAAATGGGCTTCAAACATAGTACCCATGTGGGAAATCGAACCCGGGTCTTCCGCATGACGAGCCAATGCTTGAACCACTAGGCTACCCCACCGCCCCTCTGGGAATAAGGGTTAGATACGCTTAGGACTGCTGTCGTCACAAACATCAATTTTGCTGTATAAACCTCATACACCCGTGAAGGTCCGGGTTAGAATTGATCTTCAGAAACTTGTAAGAGGCTTACTCACGGGATCGGCTGGTCACGCTCGCTGACTGGATTGACACATCATCGTGATCCAAATTGCATAGATTGATGTTCATGCTGTTGATCCCTGGATTGTCTGGTCCAGACTCGATTATTTACAGACCGCCGCCATATGCTGGGATATTGCTGAGTGCGGTGTTAAACTAAACTAACTCACTCATAAAAGGCGACTGAGGGGATCAGGTAGTCAGACTCACTGATTTGGTTGACACATGCCATCACAAAAGGAATTTTGAAATTTCGTAGATCTATGCTCATGCTGTTGATCACTGGATTGTCTGGTCCAGACTTGATTAATTACAGACAGCCTCCTTTATTCTTTTCCAGGTTTCTTCACAAGGTATGTATTGTGCTGTGGGTGAAATTCTTGGTATACTGACTGATTGAGTTTAGTTTTATGCCGCTTTTAGCAATATTCCAGCAATATCACGGCAGGGGACACCAGAAATGGGCTAATTCTGGGTATAAATAAGGTGAGGTGAGGTGAAATTGGGTTTACGTCGCGGCTTGAGAATATTTCGGCTCATATGACAACGCGTGTATGTGTGAGGCTGCTTGTACTAGCCCAGACTTAAGCTGGTTTTATAGTGCTAGCCCACTGAGATACCATGTCGCAGTGAAGCATGGTATACTGACTCTGAGTTTAACCAGTCCTTGTTGTACCCATTAATGCCGAGCCAGGCAGGGACCAACAAGTACCATATTTTAACGTCTTTTGGTACGACGCTGTCGGGGATCGAACCCGCGACCTTCCACTCTCAAGAATAAATAAAGGAACACTTGTACTTTCATGTGTTCCCTTATTCATTTCCATGAGTATATATTCAATGACTAAGCGCAAGTGGAATGTCAACCAAGTTAGTCAATCTGACCAACGATCCCCTCCGTCGCTTCTCATAACAAGCATGGGTTGCTGAAGACCAATTCTAACGAAGATCTTCACTGTATCCAGCTATTTCAACAGCTGATGGTCACCAATCTGGTCAAGCAGTAATGTGTCAGTATGATACATGACCTAAAGTTTTGAAGAATGACACATGCAAAACTGTCGCAAAGTGTTTTATTTAAAAATCTGTCCCAAAACTGCTCATTAAAAACATGGGGGAAAATTACAAAAAGAAATATAGTCTCTACAAATATATATGGTTAATGTTACATCAAAACAACATGTGTAAAAATAACTATATCAGTTTACAAGCAATAATAAAAAAATATTATATTAACAAGATAGGTGTAAAAAAAACAATTAGATTTAGAATATTGATAACAAATTGTTACATTTACAAGATATGCATAAAAATTGGTATATTTGTAACGCTGAAAAATATTGAATGCTAGTGCAAATCCTAAGAACTAAGACAAAATTGGACCCTGTGCAAGGAATCTATTGCTGGAATCTGGTTAAAAGAGACACTGAACAATTCTCATTCACCCACACAAATGACAATGTTGTTTCATGATTGAAGCAAGCACTGCTATCAATGCTATTGGACATGTGCTGATGTGCTCTCTTAAACCAACTGTTGATTGTATGAGTCTGTGTCACTCTAATGATGAGATGCTACAGCTGCCACAGCTCTGGTCCCTGTAATGACAAGATGCTACAACTCTAGCCAATTTGGCAACCAGCTGCTACAGCTTTTGCCACTGTAGGGACCAGCTGCTACAGCTCTTGTCGCTGTAGGGACCAGCTGCTACAGCTCTTGTCGCTGTAGGGACCAGCTGCTACAGCTCTTGTCGCTAGCTGCCACAGCTCTTGTCGCTGTAGGGACCAGCTGCTACAGCTCTTGTCGCTGTAGGGACCAGCTGCTACAGCTCTTGTCGCTGTAGGGACCAGCTGCTACAGCTCTTGTCCCTGTAGGGGCCAGCTGCTACAGCTCTTGTCCCTGTAGGGGCCAGCTGCTACAGCTCTTGTCGCTGTAGGGACCAGCTGCTACAGCTCTTATCGCTGTAAGGACCAGCTGCTACAGCTCTTGTCGCTGTAGGGACCAGCTGCAACAGCTATCACAACTCTGTAATGACAAATTGCTACAGCTCTTGCCAATGTGTGAACCAGCTGCAATGGCTCTTGTCACTGTAATGACCAGCTGCCACAGTTCTTGTTAACGCATGGACCAGATACTTGAGATAAAGTCATTACAGGGACCAGATGCTTGCGATAAAGTCATTGCAGGGACCAGGTACTCGAGCTAGCCACTACAGGGTCGAAAAATACAGGGTTCCCACAGGCATGGCAGGCCAAAATTCCCTGACTTTTCCCTGATAAGTATAGATTTTTCCCTGACCATTTAAGTGTAAAACTGGCCTTCTTCCTCCCTTTCAGTCAGTCCTAACCACCCTGTTAAGATATTTCCTTCACACATATCATAAATACACACAATATTTGTTAATTTATTACATTAACCAAAACATTTATGTTTGTGAGGAAGAAAATTTTCCTTGACTCTCCTGCCACAATGTTACATAATACTATTAGATACATTGGACTATCATATATATATTCTCAGGTGCAGTCAGTAATATATCATCTGAAAACTTTGTATTTTATATTAAAGGCTTTTGACAAAGAGCATAAATGTGAAACTAATGATTTAATTGAATTGTTTCATTCAAAGTCAGGAACACATGTATTCATTTTCACAAAATGTTGTAATTATCAAAGGCGTATTTGGAAAGAATAAACATGCAAGATGTAACTTTCCATTCAGTACAACCATGACAACTAGATTATGAACACCATTCAACCACTTTCCATTTGTGAATAAACAGCAAATGTCAGAACATAGGGCATATTATAAACCTATGCTGTACTTTAACAATGAAACTTATATGGGTATTTTTGGCCAATATAGGCTTCCACAATTTGCAAGAAACCACCATAGCCATCATACTATTTATAATATTTTGGAACAGTATACAAATGAATGGAAAATTATCTGTTAACATAGTTATCTTTAGAAGAAGTGGATCTGTTGCCTATAAAGAAAAATGTTTTTAAATGGCAAACAATTATCTATTGTTAATCACTATGCCTATCTCGGACTAGTGTTTTTCCATACTAAACAAGAGTCATCAGAAGATGACAAATCCCCCAGCCCATACAAATATGAAAGAGCAAATCATCTGACAGTTACTTAAGGTTTCCATGGAAACCAAGAAAAATAAAAATGACAAAAATATGTAATTAGTCAAAGGCACCACTTTAGGTTCTGTTTGATATATCTGCAAAGTTTTGTTAAAAAATTGAACCGTTTTCGAGTTATGCTCCGGAAACAAAATGATTACAGATGGAGGGACAGACAGACGGGCAAGGCGTCGACTATATCACCCCGCATTCATGCTAAGAAGGCTCTTATCAAATTTATGTCAGTTTCCCAGAATTTTGGAATTTTAACCCAGAAAATATGTTTCATATTGTTTGATTCACAAATCCAACCGATTGTGCTTCATAGAAGAATATGTCTGTTATGTCACCCGGCTGTAGAAGATAAAAATCACATTATGCTAATTTCAGAAAACAATACCTGCCAAATAATTATCTGTAAAAATATCCTTCAAGTGACTCTGTTTCCATTCTATCCTCCAGAAATGAAAATGTAATATGTAATCTAGGGCATTATGTAAAACATGCTGTTAAAAGCAATCTCTTATCTGAACTGTAATTTATTTCATGAAATGTCTGTAACATGTGCTGCTTCTTTGACTTTGACTACTACCATACCTGGTTAGCGACATTCTGAGTCTTACTTTTCCCTGACCCAAACCCTAAATTTCCCTGACTTAAACCCCAAATTTGCTGACTTTTGAAAACATATCAAAATTCCCTGACTTTTGAAAACATATAAAAATTCCCTGACTTTTGCCTGACTTTCAAAGAAATGCCAAATTTCCCTGACTTTTGAAAACATATCAAAATTCCCTGACTTTTCCCTGACTTTCATAGAAATGCCAAATTTCCCTGACTTTTCCCTGACTTTTGAAAACATATCAAAATTCCCTGACTTTTGAAAACATATCAAAATTCCCTGACTTTTCCCTGACTTTCATAGAAATGCCCAATTTCCCTGACTTTTCCCTGACCTGTGGGAGCCCTGAAATACTACAGGTCATGTGACTTCATGACCCAGCTGCTACAGCTCCTGTTACTCCAGCGACCAGTTTATGGGAGAGAACCCTTTCTTCTGCAGAGCATCATTAGTGGCAGAGAAACACTTACAGCCTGCGAACCTGGTAAAACTTAGTGGGGAGGGGTGAGCATTGTTAATGATTGCGTGCTTCTTATCATCAATTAGTTTGCCCTTTTTCTGAGCAAAGTTTCCCCAGAGGATGAAAACGACAAATGGGCACTGATCACTGATGATCTTGATGACCTGGTCAGTCAGCTTCTGCCAGCCATAGCCTTTATGTGAGTTAGGAGTGTGTGCCCTGAAACAGAAGAGGTAACGAAATGCAGGGATCAAAATAAGGAGATGAAACCTTCTTGCACCCAACGCAACATTAGGTAATAACCTTGTTGCACCTGACAAACAGATTGCACCTGCAGCTCAATATATAGTGATTACAAAGCTTGTGGGTGTTGAATATGACAAATTGTCCAACACAATATTCTTAAACGTTTTGATGTTTTCACAAGCAAAATATCCATATTTGACATCCACGAGTTTTGTGATCTATTTATCACACATAGGTTGGCAAGACAGTGTGATCTAGAATGACAAATCAAGCGGATGATGCCAGATGTAAACAAAATGAAAGGGAGATAACTCTGTCTTAGTATTACTTTAAAGGCAAAAATAAACAAAAATATTCAGTTGAAAAACAACTACTAATCCCCATGACACTGTAATTGAATTTTAATCATGTACAAACCTAATGTTTTGTTTGGTTGACATTTTTGGTAAAAAATGCTTGAATGGAGTTATAGTGTCAATACAAAATATCAAGGTAGCAACAGAAATTTCTGCATTATGAATTCACCATCACTGAATAATCTAGTTTGGTTACACAACACTCATTGGATAATTGACAACTGGCTACACCTGTTTCAAATAACCAAATTTAACTCACAAAGATATATACGTTATCATCCGAATATGTTTTGGGATGGTTAATATCCTGCTTTGGGAATAAACATTGTATTTAGCAAACCTTGGCGAGATAAACACATAGTGTTTATTTCCAATGCAGGATGCTGAGCACCACTGCTAGCTTCACATGCACAATGAGCAATGGCTGAATAAATTCAAAAATAGATTTTTAATGTGGTGAAAAATGTTTTGGTATCATTATCTCCTACGTAGGACATAGTGAGTGAGTTAATATTTAACGTCACATCGGCAATATTGCAGCCATATCGAAACGAAAACAATTTATGCAATAAAAAGTAATGGAATATATGTACGTTATAAAAAACCCGTAGGACTTAGTATCTCCTACATAGGACATAGTATCTCCTACATAGGACATAGTATCTCCTACATAGGACATAGTATCTCCTACATAGGTTGTTTTATCTCCTACGTAGGACTTAGTATCTCCAACAGAGGACTTAGTATCTCCTACGTAGGAGTTATTAAGTACTACGTAGGACATAGTATCTCCTATGTAATACTTAATATCTCTTACATAGGACTTAGTATCTGCTACGTAGGACTTACTGTCTCCTACGTAGGAGTTATGAAGTCCTACGTAGGACATACTATATCCTACATAGTACTTCATATCTCCTACGTAGGACTTGGTATCTCCTATGTAAGACTTACTATATCCTACGTAGTACATAATATCTCCTATGTAGGACTTAGTATCTCCTACGTAGGACATACAATACCTCCTTTGAAGGAGATGAGTGATATATATTAATATACATTAATTTGAAATGGTCAACTTAAATCCCCAGACACTCAAATAATCCCCTGTTTCACTGTTTCAGTCAGTGTTGTATACATGTGTTTCATTTCCTATAAGAGTCTGAGCGGTGGGGTAGCCTAGTGGTTAAAGTGTTCGCTAGTCACGCCAAAGACCCGTGTTCGATTCTCCACATGGATACAATGTGTGAAGCATGTTTCTGGTGTCCCCCTGCAATGATGTTACTGGAAAATAGTTAAAAGCGACGTAAAACTGAACTCACTCACTCACTATCTACTATCATGTGTTTCATTTACTATTAGAGTCTGCTGTTTCATTCACTATTAGAGTCATGTGTTGAACTAATTGCTGCACATTACTGTCACGTGTTGGACCGACTGTTATACTTCACTGCCTTGCGTTCAGTTTGCTCTACTATTACCCGTTGCAGTTAGTTCACTGTTATGTGTTGCATTTTGTTACACTTTACTATTATGCAGTGGATATTTCAGAAGTTGTAGCAAATGGGTCATAATAAGCATGCACAGACCTGTGATAGACTATCGGTGGCAATTTATGCCTGGTTATTCCACGATTCAGAAGCCGGTCGAGTGTAGTATCTACGTCGACACAGAAAATGTTTGTCAACAATATTTGTCCTGACCTTCCTCCAAGATAAAAGACAACATTACCATCTTCTTGTGAATAAATATTACAGCTTGTCCAGTTTGTGGCATGAAAATGTATACTGTAAATACTCGTGAAATGCGTTTTCTGTCATATTTGACTAATAAAAAATATTTTTAAAAAATATAATTTATCACTGGAAATAATAAAAAAAATTAAAAAAAGAGTTTGTGGCATTTCACATCATGGGGATTCTGTGTTAGAACTAAACCCAGTAACCTGTGCTTGTGGTCCGGTGGACTTCAAGTAGATCCGGTCGGTAGGCTATGCAACATTTTAAATGCGAGTGACATTGATCATTGGCCCATATACCGGTATGTATTTTTGTGTTACAGTGGTTTACAAATAACTAGAATGACAATTCTTTGAATTTGGTATTGTTTTACGCCGCATTCAACACTTTTTCACCCAGTCAAGTCAACCTGTAAACAATCACGAACAAAGCGCAAACAACGAGCGTTGTATCCGATCCAACCTAGCCCCATCGGAAGACACGCAGCAACTTGCGGAGGAGTTTCATATCATAACCTCATCCCTCCCCACCTACCCTCCTCTCTCTCCCTCTGTGTATGAATAGATGCATGTATGATAGATCAAACATAACCATACCAAAAATTGCTATAACTGCACTTATCAATAGAAGGTTCACGCCACCCTAACGTTATACACAACAACACTGTATAGCAACACTCATGCTAGTGTCATGAAAATTCACTGACTCACATTTCTACTATCTAACGTCCTGCATAAACAAAAACAAACTTTAAAAGGGAACTTTTTTTCTGGAATTATTCAATTGCTATGATTGGCATACGCGTGTAATTACAACATTAAGCTTACACTCAGTACCCAGATTTGAATTGTAAATACCTCGTACTTTCTAGCCATTACTAGCCTCTAAGTAGACATAAACTGTAACATTAAAAAATGGAAGAAATTATTATCAAGTCTGGATGTGGTTGCTCGAATTTAATAATTACGTGTGACCCATCCACATAACTGCAGGATTCTTATCAATTTCCTTTCACCTCACGGAACATTAGTTGTGTATATATCGCGAAATATCTTTATATATATTTATCATCTCCTATGTAGGAGATATTAAGAAAATACATATAGTATGTCCAACGAGGAGATATTAAGTCCTACATAGGAGATACGAAGTCCTATGTAGGTGATAATGTAAGTCCCACGAGGGAGAGACTTAAGTCCTACCTAGGGGATATGATGTCCTACGTAGGAGATACAATGTCCTACGTAGGAGATACTAAGTCCTATGTAGGAGATATGATGTCCTACGTAGGAGATACGATGTCCTACATAGGAGATACAATGTCCTACGTAGGAGATACTAAGTCCTACATAGGAGATACGAAGTCCTACGTAGGGGATACTAAGTCCTACGTAGGGGATACTGAGTCCTACGTAGGAGATACTATGTCCTACGTAGGAGATACTATGCCCTACGTAGGAGATACTATGTCCTACGTAGGAGATAGTAAGTCCTACATTGGAGATATTATGTCCTAAGTAGGAGATAAAGAGACCACTGTGTCCCTACTACACTTCCGTAGCTTTGAACTATATGGCCTTACTTAAGATCACCCTGTTGACCACATTTCACGTCTAGGGCCCTTTATGTTTTTCAGAATAAAAGATTCATCCTAGTGACAATATTGATATTAAAATTGGATGCTTTGATGTGTCAGTTTATTTCTTTATTTGTTGTTTTAAACCCTGCACTCAGCAGTTTCCAGACATAAGACATGTATCCCCTTAGTTGTGTCTTTATAAAAACATGAGTTGCTGTAAACCAAATCTAACCCTGGTATGGATGATTTGAAAGCCATTAACACCCTTATAGAAACTAGAGGTGTGGACGATACAGAAATTTTATGATAATGATCTTGATATCTTGGAATGATAATGATTCGATACAATGCGATCACGATATGCTATCTTTAGTTATTTTCTATAGAAAGGTGTATTTGAATAACAAGTAACAGTGTAAATTTTGACACACCCGTCAATTTCCAGTGAAAATTCACAATTTTTAGGTCAACGATACATATCACGATACTAAAAAAAGTATCGATATATTTATTGTCAGAAAAGATATCATGATTATCGATACGACGATATATCGTCACAGCTCTAATAGAAACATCCAAGCCATTATGAGAAGAGGACAAAAATATAGAATTATTACTTCATAATATTTTCGGACAATGTTCATAGCACACAAAATGACAATAGTACATGCTGTGACACAGGGCCAGTTGAGCTAAAAAGCCCTCAGCAGTCACCTCTATATATCACACAAACGCTTTACGGTGACAAACTTACTCCACAGTGAGCGTAGGCATTGAGAAGGAACACTCCTTGTACAGCCCATTTCTCTAGACTTCCGCCCAGCAGGCTGCCTTGAACCCTGGGATGTCTGTTGTCAATTCCTTTGTAGATGTTCTTTAGAGACGGAGGAACAGCCAGTCCATCTGGCACCGAACGCCAGCCCTTCCGCGCCTAAAACCAAAAGCCCTTGGTTTCAAATTATCCAAAACAGTTAGAACCAGATCCCCATATACTACACAATTACCTCCCCTTAGACCACTCTGGTAATGTCTCCTAAAACAAATATTGAAAACAGGCATTGACACAATATTGTTGGAAATTTTCAACACTGTGATATTTTACTTCATCATATTCGTGGTAATAGCAAGACAAAGTTATATCAATCTTCAAAACGTGTGCAAATAAAATAATTCAAACTCAATGGCTATGTATAAAAACCCAGGGCATTCCTTAAGAAATTCTGGAATTTCCTGGAGAATGACCAGGAAACTGACTGCAGAACTTTACTACTGTAAAGAACAACCCAACTGAACAATAGCGTGATGTCACTTGAGGTTTATAGGTGAGTTTCTCACCTGCCCGTCATCGTGGTATGGGTCTTGTCCAAGGATCACAACTCTCACCTAAAAAACAACACACATTGTCAACATGCCATTAAGAACGGTACCACTGTGTTGAAATCAGTGAAGTTGCCCCTTCTCATTTTTATTTCACAACACATCAACTGTTCAACCTTATAACCTTGTAATACAATCATATCCCCATTGACTAGATCAATGCTCATGATTTTAATCACTGGAATGTCTGGTTCAGGCTCGTTTTTTACAGCCACCACGTAGCTGGAATATTGCTGAGTACAGCGTTAAACAACAAATATACAATCAGGAAATCAGAAATCTATCATATATATACTGACTGATGAACTGTCTTATTCTATAACAATTGCTATAGACAATGCCAAGCTGAATACTGACTGACTGACTGAGTTTGGTTTTACGCCGCTTTTAGCAATATTCCAGCAACATCACGGCGGGGGACACCAGAAATGGGCTTCACACATTGTGCCCATGTGGGGATTCAAACCCGGGTCTTCGGCATGACGAGCCAACGCTTTAACCATTAGGCTACCCCACCACCCCCTATCATATATATACACCCATGCATACATATACAGAATAGCCCGTGAAGATCTGGGTTAGAATGTGAATTCAGTAACCCATGCTTGTCGTAAGAGGTGACTAACGGGATCGGTGGTCAGGCTTGCTGACTTGGCTGACACATGTCATTGTATCCCAATTGCATAGATCGATGCTCATGCTGTTGATCACTGGATTGTCTGGTCCAGACTCGATTATTTACAGACCGCCCACCATATAGCTGAAACATTGCTAAGTGCTGCGTAAAACTAAACTTGCTCACTCACATATACAGAATTATCATAATATACTGTATATGCAGTAATAAGATTCCTGGTGTACAAAAAAATAACCGTAACAAATTATACCTTTTCAGAGAGATCAAGTTACTAGGTTAAAAAATCTCCTCAATATTGATGAAACAAAAGGACAATTTAACCACCCAATATTTCATAATTTTTTCAGATTATCAATTAAGGACAATTTAACCACCCAATATTTCATAATTTTTTCAGACTATCAATTAAGGACAATTTAACCACCCAATATTTCAAAATATTTTCAGACTATCAATTAAGGACAATTTAACCACCCAATATTTCAAAATATTTTCAGATTATCAATTAAGGACAATTTAACCACCCAATATTTCAAAATATTTTCAGACTATCAATTAAGGACAATTTAACCACCCAATATTTCAAAATATTTTCAGACTATCAATTAAGGACAATTTAACCAACCAATATTTCATAATTTTTTCAGACTATCAATTAAGGACAATTTAACCACCCAATATTTCAAAATATTTTCAGATTATCAATTAAGGACAATTTAACCACCCAATATTTCAAAATATTTTCAGATTATCAATTAAGGACAATTTAACCACCCAATATTTCAAAATATTTTCAGATTATCAATTAAGGACAATTTAACCACCCAATATTTCAAAATATTTTCAGACTATCAATTAAGGACAATTTAACCACCCAATATTTCAAAATATTTTCAGATTATCAATTAAGGACAATTTAACCACCCAATATTTCAAAATATTTTCAGATTATCAATTAAGGACAATTTAACCACCCAATATTTCAAAATATTTTCAGATTATCAATTAAGGACAATTTAACCACCCAATATTTCAAAATATTTTCAGACTATCAATTAAGGACAATTTAACCAATCTAATATTTCAAAATATTTTCAGATTATCAATTAAGGACAATTTAACCACCCAATATTTCAAAATATTTTCAGATTATCAATTAAGGACAATTTAACCACCCAATATTTCAAAATATTTTCAGATTATCAATTAAGGACAATTTAACCACCCAATATTTCAAAATATTTTCAGATTCGATCAATTAAGGACAATTTAACCACCCAATATTTCAAAATATTTTCAGATTATCAATTAAGGACAATTTAACCACCCAATATTTCAAAATATTTTCAGATTATCAATTAAGGACAATTTAACCACCCAATATTTCAAAATATTTTCAGATTATCAATTAAGGACAATTTAACCACCCAATATTTCAAAATATTTTCAGACTATCAATTAAGGACAATTTAACCACCCAATATTTCAAAATATTTTCAGATTATCAATTAAGGACAATTTAACCACCCAATATTTCAAAATATTTTCAGATTATCAATTAAAGTTTTAGTTCAACAAATCTGACGCCTTTACAGACTCAGATCTATGATCTAACTTCACACTTTCACAAAAATGTTTACCTCGTCAATTGGGGTCAGGTTAAAAGCATTAAAAATCTTTTCTTTTGGAGGAAAGATCTGCTTTGCTCCTGAATAATCTTGCTCAAGCTGTTTCTGGAGGTCTTCAAAATACTGCTCTTTGAACACTTCCTGTAAGGCTTTTGTCCAGCTGCTTTCCGTTAGAAGGGACTTCAGGTCAAATGATGATGACATGCTTGCTTTCGCTTCTGCCACTTTTACAGGTGCTGAAGAGGAAACGAGGAAAACATGATCAGAGTATGGCAATTTAACTTCTTTTAGACATGTTTAACATCCTAAGAGAGACTTCAGTTTTTCCATATTTTCATGGTATTACTAGGGTACAATTAAGAGGAAATCGGCTGTAAATCTTTAAATGATGCCCCATGGAAGGTATTGTGTGCAAGACAGAGTGGTCAAGGTCATATCACATTAACTAGGAACCTACATCGTCCAGAATTAATCAAGGACACTTTTACAATACACACTATTTTTATCTTAAAATGTTAACCTTTTGCTCAAAGGTTGCTTGTTTGTTTGTTTAATGCCACAGCCAACAATATTCTTGCTAAACATGTAAAGCATTATGTCTGGACTATACAATCCAGTGATTAACATCATGAGCATTCATTCATCAATGCTACCAGGGCATGCATCAACATGTTTAAGGAACAAAATAATTGTTGGTTTACTTTTATGCCCATTCAACCTTTTCCAAGCATTTTTGGGGGTGGTGGGGTAGCCTAATGGTTAAAGCATCTGCTCTTCCTGCTGAAACCTCGGGTTCAATTTACCACATGGGGGGCGTGTACATGTGTGTGTGTGTGTGCAAAACATCAACTTCAATGTGGTCTTTACTCATTTTCAAAGGGGAGGGAGGAGAGGTGGGGGTGGGGGTGGGGCACTTCAAAACAAACACCCATAAAAACCTGACTCCACAACATTTATTTGAGGTTCACAGTACTGGTATTTACTGCTGAAACCTGGCTACCTGAAAATGTTTACAGACCGCTGCCATATAGCTGGAATATTGCTGAGTGCGGCACAAAACTATAAACCCACTCATTCAAATGTACTGATTTAATTCACTAGTCATTTTATATGTATATAATTCATTAAAAACAAAAAACATATTGCTACTTCATCAAACCAGCCCCCTCCATCCATGCTGTTGATCACCGGATTGTCTGGTCCAGACTGGATTATTTACTGAATGACTACAGAATACCTAATGCAATAAATTGAACGGGATCAACTACATACAGTTTCGGTTTTGGGTTGCGGAATATATAGATTCGTCCTCCTTTAGGGTACCATTACGTTTCTGTATAAATTTGACTTTGTTTAGGGTACAGGTCTGTATACAGAAACGTACCTGGGGTACATATGTGTAAGTACCTGAGCCGACTACGACCCCTTCAGGATTACTGAGAGCCTATAAGATTCTCTCCCCATACACCTGGGTCATTTCCAAACACAGGTGAGCAGGAAATTAAATGAAAAGAAAAATTAGCTTATTATGGGCAATACGGTAGTTCACACTCGCTCTATATCATATAGTATATGTCTCCTTGTGTCAACAGAGTATTATTGCAGTCACATTTTCATTACGAAACAAGCATACTTCAACAGTTGAAATCGATTTATGTGTTGGTCATGCCACGACTTGTTCAAAGCAGTGTACGTCAACGAACGATGGATATTGCCGGTAAAACGCTTGTACTTGTAGTCAGTGATCAATGGCTGGGTGGTGCATCGTGAGTTTCGACATTATCTACCTTTTTTTTCTTCCGCTCTTGGTTTGGCCTTAACATGTTTCCCTTTAGACTGTTTCTTTGCCTTGGGTTGACCAGCTAGAGGAGCCAAGCTTTTGCGTTTGCGTGGCATCGTTAGATCGCCGTGGTAACTGGTATCAAGTTTCAAAACACAACTTGCGACCTAGATACAGCGCTGTATTGCGGAAGTAACGAAGACAGACGCTTTCGTTCAAGTTGGTAGAAGCGGGAGTAAAATCCTCGTTTACCTGGCCTTGCTAAATGTCACATTTATGTCCGCGTAATAGAAGCTGGCGCAATGGTAGACTAATGCTTAGTCCCTGAATATACATTATTTCGATTGTAACAAATAAATACATTTAAACTGAAAAGGATCCCCAGTGAGTTTGGAGCCTGAGGAAATCTAGACTTGCTTCAATTACAGTTTTAGCATTGCAGGGAGGGCAATGCATTACCTAGGGAAATAATGTGGTTCAGGGACTGTGAGACAGACTAGCGCAGTGGCAGTGATCTTATTTAGCCTTGGAAATCATGTGATTAACAAGCACCATACCTCAAAGCTTGTCACAAATCAATATGTTTTTGTGTTAATGTTTTCACGATATAGCTGGTCCTAGAGAGCGTGAGCTAACACGATATCCATACTGGCGGATGTTCCATGTAGCCTGGCGCCCATGCATGTATAATAAATATTTCAAAAATGGCAAGTCTAGATAAGCGGACAGTCTGAGGACGCCATTCTGGTTTTTATAATTTGTATCGAAATTTTCGTTTAAACCAAAAATAATTATCTTAGAAACTAGTGCAATTTTACTGTCCATGATGCTTTTAAATTTTATGGCTAGCGTGTGATGATGATTCTTATGGAGAAGAATGTACAATGTGAATGGCACTCCCCTCTCCTAACTAAACTTTATGTACAAAGTAAGTGCCCCCACACACCTCCCCCCAGAACAAAATGGGTGACCCCCTTAAAGTCAATTTCTCTCTCTCTCTCTCTCTCTCTCTCTCTCTCTCTCTCTCTCTCTCTCTCTCTCTCTCTCTCTCTCTCTCTCTCTCTCTCTCTCTCTCTCTCTCTCTCTCTCTCTCTCTCTCTCTCTCTCTCTCTCACACACCTCCCCTCCACACACACCTCCCCTCCATTTTACCCCTAGCCATAATGAACGGTCCCTAAGTCAATAATATTTTGTGAATGCACAATTGGTGACAGAATGCTTCGGACAAACGCAAACGAATTGATACTCATATTTGACCATTTCTAACATTTAGCTAAGTAGGTAATTATTAGAATTTCTTAATTCTCCTGCTGTGTTATAGTATGGTTCACTTTCAACATTTAATGTTTACATGCATATTCTATACATTTTAATTGCTTTAATCAAATGCTAATAAGTCTACTTTCTATGTATTATTCATAATACAACTGATTCATTACATGATCCATTGGACAGTCATTAAGAAGAGATAAAGGTGAATTATTTTTTAAATATAGATCTATAATGAATAATCCAAAAGGAGTTAATAATAATTCTACATGTCATCACGCATGCGACTTGCCCGACCGTTCTAGATTGGAGATGAGCTCCTTTCTTAATTTATTCTGTAGGGCGTGTGTGACCGATTGACACGACATAAGCATAATGTTCAGTGATTAAATTTATATTTTTTAACCGCCGCATTCAAAATTTACTCAAATATTTAGTAGTACGTTGTTTTGTGTCTAAGCATAAATAGTTCTATTTATCATCAATGTGAAAATGTGAAAGCAGAATTGTGGGGATTTGGGGGTTCTTTAACGCCGCTCTGAATCAATTGTGTTGATTCTGTCCGTAAATAATCGAAGCTGAACCAGATAATCCTGTGTTTGACATCGTGAGGATTGATCTCCGTAACTGGGGTACGATGACATGTATCGAGTAAGTCAGGTGCATCCTGTCGCAGGTTGCATGGGTTTCGTGAGATGCATTTTTCATTTACGTTGAACTTCATCGGTACCACAATTCGTTCAACTCTCAGGACCAGCATTTGGGTTCTAAGGGAAATAATTGCTACCCCGTGGAAATCCATTCTAAACATTAAGCACGTGCACTACTCAAAGCTATTTTTCATTTTGATCATTTAAGCGCTGAATCCTCGTGCATTTCCTTGTTATATACACAATCTTGAAGATCTATACAAAACAGAAAACGAAACTAAAACTGAAAAACTGACAGGTTTATAAAACATTCATTGAGGAAATCGGTCTGTGGCGAATTAAAAGCTCACTAATGTGCACTCTTTCAGTGGTCGTCGATGTAGTTGTTGGCTTCATCGGATGGTGGTGATGATTATGACAACGTCAGTTGATAATCAAGTCTTCGCCAGACAACCCAGAGATTGACATCATGAGCATCATATATAGTCAACTAAATCACGTAGCCTGAACCAAGCGATCCATATAGTCGCCTCTTATCCCATGGCTCTTGGTCATCACATGAGTGATATATAGTATCTCGCAAGTGGAAGTCTGTTAATGCCTATCTATTGCAAACGACGGACACCGATAGTTTCAACAGATTTGCTTACAGATTAATATTCTGGGTACCAAAATGTCAGCTAAAGGGGTGCTGTGGTTGTTGTCGCCAGTCATTGGAGTCAATCATGAACATGCCAGGTGATGGTTATGATGATGATGACGACGACGATGACATGCGCCATGATGATGAAGAAGATGGCGATGACATGCGCAATGATTATGAATATGATGATGATGATGACGACGACGATGACATGCGCGATGATGATTATGATTATAATGATGATGATGATGATGACGACGACGATGTCATGCGCGATGATGATCATGATTACGATGATGATGACGACGACGATGACAAGCGCGTTGATGATGATGATGATGTAGCTTTATCTTTATAAATACCAACATGAACGTTCAAAGTTATGGCTTTCCACAACAGTCGCCCCTTACAACACAAAGACATCCTCAACAGATGTTGTTGTTGCATGCATGTACTCTTGAAAATTAAATGACAAATTGATACTGTCGGTGTGAGTGAAATAGTCCACAACAATTAACCTCATTTGTTAACAAATATTAATCAATTTGGGGCTGAATACAGAATTGCTAGCTGTTAATATCTCGATTACATACCACTATGCCATGAACATCTGTTGCTGAAGACCAATTCTAACCCGGATCTTCATGTGTACTGTACATGATGTACAGAGTGAGTGAGTGGGTTTTACGCTGTTTTTAGCAATATTCCAGCAATATCATGACGGGGACACCAGCAATGGGCTTCACACATTGAACCCATGTGGGGAATTGAACATGCGCAGGGGCGTGTCACACTTAGAAACAGCGTTAGAAAGACATATAGGTATATAGACCCTAACCTAGTACTATCATTTTATATAGTATACTAGGGTAGGGCCCTATATGTCTTTCTAACGCTGTTTCTAAGCGTGACACGCACCTGTGTGAACCCGGGTCTTCGACGTGAAGAGCGAACGCTTTAACCACTGAGCTACCCATCACCCCCATGATGGACAGAACAAGCACTATGTACATATGCACAGAAAACCCGGCCCGTGGTTGAGTAAACGGTTGCCTAGAACTGTGATGCGATGTGTTTATGGCAGGCTTAAATAACCGATAATCGGGAATATCGTCGATGGGAAATACTATTAATGATTATCGATATCTAAATTGTGTTAGCGATAATATCGTATATGAACTTTTGTGATAGAAAAACGTTATTTTATATGTTCTCACACAATATTCGAATTGAGAACTTTATTCATGGTCTGCTTCTATAAATTATGTTCAGGATGCTGTTTTCTAATACGAGAGTCGGTCAAAAAGTAATCGGCCTCACTTAAAAAATGATAGCTGTTTTGTTATGTTTTATTGTTCAACATATTATTTGTCAACCTCAAACAAATTGGTTTAGCTACGTTTCAGCCTCACGATCCCCAATTTGTTTGACTCTTTTATCTTTTATCTACCCCCAAAAAACTCAATATCTGCAATAAATGCACCACAAACTTCGGGAAACAAAATGTGCAAGAAACATTTTTTTTGTGTGTTGGAGATAGGTAGAAGTACGCTTGAATAGTAGAATCAAACTTAGATAATTAAAGTGCATAAAAAAGCAGTTAGAAACTACACTCGTTTTTAAAGTGAAACAGCCTACATGTTTACTGAAAGAGCTTGTTTTGGAGACACTACCAACACCCCTTTAAGATGACGTAATCATAAGGACATAACTTATTCTAATGTTTTCACTGTTCATACATGACGCGAAGGGTTCAAGCTACTGACTGAAGGGTCACAAATGTCAGCTCTCAATATATTGTAAACAGTGCCAGCCTGAATATCTGGACACAGTGTTTTTGAAAGATTAAAACAGTCCCGTCTAAATATAAGTCAAGCAATCCAAATCTTTGAATGTTGGTTAAAACGAGATCATCCAATTCTATTCTATAGTATTATCTTAGGGCATACCATTATCCAAGCCGCACAAAATCCTTTTTCATTTTCTGCATTTTTTTTAGAAATAAATATACTCCAATGTGGGACGTTGGGGTAGCCTAGTGGTTAAAGCGTTCGCTCGTCACACCGAAGACCTGGGTTTGAATCCCCACATGGGTACTATGTGTGAAGCCCATTTCTGGTGTCCCCCGCCGTGTTGTTGCTGGAATATTGCTAAAAGCGGCGTAAAACCAAACTCATTCAGTCAGTCAGTATTCAGCTTAGCATTGTCTATAGTAATTGTTATAGAGTAAGACAGTTCATCATTTACACAATCAGCATATAATGTTCATAACTATGTTCAGTAATATAGTTTCCAATACAAACATCCCACTCCTGGTCACAGTCACCACGTGATACAGGATTAAATGCATCTTTAAAATATGTATGCCATGTTTCTGGTAAAATATTATTCTTATCAGGTCACCTAGATGAATATTTTTTATACTTCTTAAATATTATTGATTAAATAAATATTGATGAAATAAAGGATCACTTGCTACATTGTCAAAACTCGTAATATGGGTGATTCTTAATCAAGGGTACAGCCTACTAATCACGGATGCAACCAACCATAACAAGTGTTGTTTTAACGGGTCTGCGTTTGGGGAGGTCTGCGTTTTGGGAGACCGACTGGTCAGTTCGTTTCTTGTTTAACGTCGCGCTGAGCAGTATTCCAGCTATATGTCGACGGTCTGCAAATAATCGAGTCTGGGTCAGACACTCCAGTGATCAACATCACGAGCATCAATCTACGCAATTGGGATACGATGATATGACCACCCATCCCCTTAGGCGGTTCTTACAACAAGCGCGGGTTGCTGAAGACCAATTCTAACCTACACTGTCATGGGTCTCCGAACATTATGGGGTTTTTGGATGTGGATATATCCTATATTCGTGATATCCAATTACAATTCAGTAGCGCTTGCAGTTATGTATGTCAGGTTTGATTAACATTAATATTGACACTTAGCTAGTATATAGGCTGCTTATAAAACACGTGTTTAAAAGAACATCAATAAATCCAAACTCGGAACACTGGCGTAGCCTTGTGGTTAAAGCGTTCTTTCGTCACGCTGAAGACCCCGGTTCGATTCCTCAATGGATACAATGTGTGAAGTCCATTTTGGTGTCCCCGCCGTGCTATTGCTGGAATATTGCTAAAACGGCGTAAAACCATACTCACTCGCGTGGAATTGGGTTTAACGTCGTGCTTGAGAATATTTCGCTCATATGACGACGTGCATGCGGGTGTATGTGTATGTGCGGCTGCTTGTACTAGCCCAGACTTAAGCTGGTTTTATAGTGCTAGCCCACTGAGATACCATGCCGCAGTGAAGCATGAATACCCCACTCACACACATTATACTGACTCCGAGCCGACCCCCATTAATACTGGGCGCCAGGCAGGGACCAACAAGTACCACATTTTAACGTCTTTTGGTACGACGCGGTCGGGGATCGAACCCGCGACCTTCCGCACTCCGGGCGGACGCTCTAACCACTACACCACGGAGGCGGTTCGCTCAAAGGGAAATGCTGATGTTACGTATCAGCTATGAATATATATAACTCAGTCCGAGCGACCCAGCAAAACAAACAGGTAAGGGTTATTGGCCTAGTTACACTGAGGCTATACCTGTCAACCTGTCGTGGATGTCAATCATGTGTCAATATACAGGGCGGGAGCGGTGAACACGGGCTGGACAGGCACTGGATATACTTACCTGTCGATGAACGGACGGAACAGAGTTTTCTAGCTGTTGTTCATCTGCTTTATTATGTCAAATATGGACGGGGAAAGGTAAGGATTGGGGGATTGGGGGGGTGGGGTGGGGTGGACATGGCGACAAGGAGGTGAAGGGTCGTAGGTTTATCAATGACATGGAAGTAGGTTGAAACTGTGAAACATTTATAGGTGTATCGTTTCACTGGCAAGATTAATAGGTCATGTTAGTTTTTGAGGAATACATACATTGTACTTTGCTTTGTTTGTTGGTCGTTCAAAGCCGCACAATTCCTTTTGTATGACCTGTACAAAATCCAGTCTTGGTCAATGATTTGTGTCTTCAACAACGACCTGCGCCGTCAGGTACAAAGACAGACGATCACCCTGGTCACCTGGACCGACCACTCGATCTGCGATGTCGCCCCTTATGGCCAAAACTTTGCTAGGGACCAATTCTAACAGGGTATCCCCTCAGCCAGAGTAATTACATGTGTTTGTTTTGTTCGTTTTGTTGTATAACGTTTTGTTCGTTTGTTGTATAACGCCACACTCAGCAATATTCCAGCTGCGAACACACACACACACGCATACATACATACATACACACACACACACATACTACACACACACACACACATATACATACATACACACACACACACACGCATACATACATACATACATACATACATACACATACATACATACACACATACACACACACACACACATACATACATACATACATACATACATACATACATACATACATACATACATACATACATACATACATACATACATACATACGGTCCGGGTTATATTGTGCCTTCAGTAACCCATGCTTGTCGTAAGAGGCGACTAACGGGATCGGGTGGTCAGGCTCGCTGACTTGCTCGACACATGCCATCGGTTCCCAATTGCGCAGATCGATGCTAATTCTGTTGATCACTGGATTGTCTGGTCCAGACTCGAATATTTACAGACCGCCGCCATGTAGCTGGAATATTGCTGTGTGTGGCGTAAAACTCAGCTCACTCACTCATAATGTCCGTACTCACTGTCACCCCGATTGGAATATTCCTGAACAAGAAACTAAACAAGATTTATAAATAAATTACTTCTCCCTCCCTCGTAGGTATTCCTACCTTTATATCTGAATGTTTTAAGCTTCAGCTAATAATGTTTTAAGTTAAATATATTTGTTTCCCCCTATTTATAGACATTGTGATTTATAAAGCAGTTCACTCAAAACGATCTTAGCGTTAAGACTATCCTTACGATCACTGCTTAACTAAGATCGATATTTGCAATGAATGGGTAATAATTTTTTTTAAAAGTACATCATTACTATCCGATACCGATACGAAAAGATTGTGGGAGAGAGGCAGTTATACCCAGGGACCAAAGGGGGGTAACTATGAAGTAAAGCCTCGTTCAAGCATCGCAGTTCTACGGC